AGTGGTCTGATCACCTGAGGTTGGGAGTTCGAGACCAGTCTGACCAACATGGAAAAACCCCATCTCTATTAAAAATACAAAATTACCCGGGCGTGGTGATGCATGCCTGTAATCCCAGCTACTCAGGAGGCTGAGGCAGAAGAATCGCTTGAACCCGGGAGGCGGAGGTTGCAGTGAGTCGAGATGGTGCCATCGCACTCTAGCCTGGGCAAGAAGAGCGAAACTCCATCTCAAAAAAAAAAAAAAGAGAGAGAGAGAGATTGAGAGAGAACAGGGAAGTCAACATGAGTGGCTCTGAGGTGTGGAAGACACAGGCTAGTGCCCAGCTCAGAGTGGCTCCATCTCTTTGGGCCACAGACCAACCTCACCCACACTCACAGTCTCAGGGGACACAAACCCTAGCCACTATGTCCAGTTCTTTTTTTTTTTTTTTTTTCAGACGGAGTTTCGCTCTCGTTACCCAGGCTGGAGTGCAATGGCGCGATCTCGGCTCACCACAACCTCCGCCTCCTGGGTTCAGGCAATTCTCCTTCCTCAGCCTCCTGAGTAGCTGGGACTACAGGCGCACGCCACCATGCCCAGCTAATTTTTTGTATTTTTAGTAGAGACGGGGTTTCACCATGTTGACCAGGATGGTCTCGATCTCTTGACCTCGTGATCCACCCGCCTCGGCCTCCCAAAATGCTAGAATTACAGCCGTGAGCCACCGTGCCCGGCCCCAATCTGATTTCTAAGACTTGTGATAAAATTTTTTTTTTTTTTTGAGATGGAGTTTTGCTGTATCAGAAACGACTTGCAGTTGGAGGCCTCCCTCGGGTGGGAGAGTTGGGCTGGGAAGCTCCTGGGGAGTTTTGAAGTGTCCTGGTAGGCTCGTTGCGAGTCATACCGATAATACCAGAATCTGGGAGTGGGTCCGAGCATCTGCACATCAAAACTCCTCAGTTGATTCTTTTTTTTTTTGTTTGTTTTTTTCGGTTTGTTTCTTGAGACAGGGTCTCTCACTGTCGTCCAGGCGAATGCAGTGATATCATCATGGGTCACTATACCCTCCACCTCTTGGGCTAAAGCGATCCTCCCACCTCAGCCTCTGGAGTAGCTGGTAACACAGGCTTGTGCCACCACGCCTAATTTTCTTTCTTCTCTCCCTCCAATTCCCCTTCCCCCTCCCCCTCTCTCCCCTTTCCTCTCTCTCTCCTCCTCCCGTCTTCCTTCCACTGTGTCGCCCAGGTTGGTGTCGAACTCCTGTGCTAAAGCAGCCCTCCCGAGTAGCTGAGACTGTAGTGAGTATAGGCGGGAGCCACCATGTCTGAACATATTTATTTATTTATTTTAAGAGATAGGGTCTCCCTATGTTGCCCAGACTGGTCTGGAACTCCTGGGCTAAAGCGATCCTTGTGCCTCAGGCTTGAGCCACTGCCAGGCCCCTAGTCCGGTCCCCAGTTCATTCTAACATGTGTGACCCCATTGGGGAATCACAGCCTCCCCCAGCTCCTTTGGTGTTGCTGACTCTACGGGCCTTCCCAGGTAGAATGAACTGGTCAGGCCTCCTACCCATTTGTCACCCAGCTCTTGCCCCCATCTATTGTGTCTCCTGCCCTCCATAGGGACATCTAATTTCGTTGGCCAGTCCAGCACATATATTGCATGTAACGACCCAGTATGCCCCTTCCTGCCTCTACTGCATCTGCTTCAGGGATGCTGTGACTGTTCCATTCCCTTTCTCCGTCCCATGGGTGTCTGCACATCAAAATCCCTGCCAAGCAGTCTATTTCCCTGTCCAAGCACAAAACTAACCCTAACCCTACCAAGATCACAGCGGGTTGCCTGCCTGGTGGGTCCCCTGGTGGCTCAAGAGTGAGTTATACACGAAGGCCTTGACAGTTGTCAGAGAAAGGACTGCAGCTGCTGGCTCTGTGGGTGTGCAGATGTCTGACAGGTTCAGCCACTTGCCCCAATAGGGACACAAGTAGGATTTCTCACTCCTGTGGATGCACTGCTGCTGGAGGAGCCTTGAGCCCATGTGGAAGAACGTCCCACTCTCAGGCACAGAAAGGGCCTCCCTCTGGAATGAAGTACCTGGTGGTGCCACAGGTCTGGCCACCGTGCAAAGACCTAGTCCCTGCAGGGCTGGCAGGAGTCACTGGGAGCCCTAGAGTGTCATAGGTGTGGGGGACTTGTCTGGAGGGGACTGGCTACGGGGGCTGTGAAAGTCTGTAAGGCTTTCTTCACTTCTACACAAGCCTGTCGTCTAAGTAGACCCTGCAGTGTTCCTGTAGGGGCAGCACCAGAGAAGCATCTTGTGACAATGTTCACACAGGAGGGATTTCAGGAATGAGACTCTGAATCAGGCAAGGACCTGGAGAGGAAGCTCCGCTGGGGCTCCTACCCAAGGGGTCCAACTTTACTAATCCCATAACCTAGACTGGGGTTCATTCTGTGTCTACTGTAGGCCTAGGACCCTGCACCCTGGAGAGTTGTCCTGCTGCCAGCCATCCCTCCACAGAGGTCTCCCTCTTGGCTGTATGCTGTCCTCAGCAAAGGGCCTCTGCTCCATTTCAGGCCTCTCCTGAGGGCCCAGGGCAGCTTGCTGCGAAGCAGCCTCAGGGAATGGAGGCTTCAGCGGGGCATCTGGGCCCCCAACACAGAATTCTGGTTGTAGGATCAGGAAAAACAGAGCAGAAATGGAAGTTAGCAGTTTCCAGGAGGGGAAAAGGTGCTGGGAGCCATGAAAGCCAACCCCAGTGGCTGAAGCATCTTGAATGACTAGGTCAAATTTCCTTAAGAATCTTCTTTTTCGGCCGGGCGCGGTGGCTCAAGCCTGTAATCCCAGCACTTTGGGAGGCCAAGGCGGGTGGATCACGAGGTCAACAGATCGAGACCATATTTGTCAACATGGTGAAACCCCGTCTCTACTAAAATTACAAAAAAATTAGCTGGGCACGGTAGTGCGTGCCTGTAATCCCAGCTGCTCGGGAGGCTGAGGCAGGAGAATTGCCTGAACCCAGGAGGCGGAGATTGCGGTGAGCCGAGATCACGCCATTGCACTCCAGCCTGGGTAACAAGAGCGAAACTCCGTCTCAAAAAAAAAAAAATCTTCTTTTTCTGCCTGGCATCACTATAAGAAAAAATATTTTTATTATTTTTTTCAGACAGAATCTGGCTGTTACCCAGGCTGCAGTGAAGTGACATGATCTCAGCTTACTGCAACCTCTGCCTCCCTGGTTCAAGTGATTCTCCTGCCTCAGCCTCCTGAGTAGCTGGGACTACAGGCACGCGCCACCACACCCAGCTAAGTTTATTTATTTATTTATTTTTTGAGACAGTTTTGCTCTTGTTACCCAGGCTGGAGTGCAATGGCGCGATCTCAGCTCACCGCAACCTCCGCCTCCTGGGTTCAGGCAATTCTCCTGCCTCAGCCTCCTGAGTAGCTGGGATTACAGGCACGCGCCACCATGCCCAGCTAATTTTTTGTATTTTTAGTAGAGACAGGGTTTTACCATGTTGACCAGGATGGTCTCGATCTCTTGACCTCGTGATCCACCCGCCTCGGCCTCCCAAAGTGCTGGGATTACAGGCTTGAGCCACCGCGCCCGGCCCCAGCTAAGTTTTTGTATTTTTAGTAGAGATGGGTTTTCACCATGTCAGTCAGGATGGTCTCTGTCTCCTGACCTCATGAGGTAGAAGGACTGCCTGACCCTGGGAGGCAGCGGTTGCAGTAAATTGAGATGGCACCACTGCACTCCAACCTGGGTGACAAAGTAAGACCCCATCTCAAAAACAAAACAGCCAAATGTTCTATGATTCTGTTACTGTAAAGTGCTCGGGTTAAGCAGATCCCCACAGAAAGTTTCACTAGGATTCACTGCCAGGGGCTGCGGGGAGTGTGGCAAATGGTGGGACGATTCTCTGTGGGGTGATGGTAACATTCAGGAATTAGACTGGTCATGGCTGCACCACTTTATAAATATACTAAAGACAAAGCCACTGGATTGCACACTTGAAAATCATTTTGTGGTACATGACTAGTATCCTAACTTAAAAGTTACAAGCGGCTGGGCGCAGTGGCTCATGCCTGTAACCCCAGCACTTTGGGAGGTCGGGGCAGGCAGATTGCCTGAGGTCAGGAGTTCGAGACCAGCCTGGTCAACATGGTGAAATCCTGTCTCTACTAAAACTACAAAAAAATTAGCTGGACGTGGTAGCATGCAGCTGTAATCCCAGCTACTTGGGAGGCTGAGGCAGGGGAATCGCTTGAACCAGGGGGGTGGAGGTTGCAGTGAGCCGAGATTGTGCCACTGCATTCTAGCCTGGGTGACAGAGCAAGACTCAGTCTCAAGAAAAAAAGTTACAAGAAATAAATAGAACAGTCAGTGAAGGACTCATGGAGAAGGTAGGATTCGAGGCATGACCTGAGGAGTGGAGGGAGTGAGGCATGGAGCTCTCTGGGAGAAGCAGGTTGGGTGAGGGAACAGCAAATGCTAAGGTCCTGAGGAGGCCTCTGTGGCTCCACATGTAGAAAGAGGATGAAGGGTGACAGGGACCTATTTCATGGGCTTAGCAGGCCACTGTGCACACTTTGCCTTTTCTGGTGAGTGACACAAAGGATTCTGAGCCAGGGAGGGATGAAATCTGCTCCCCTGGCTGTCATGGGGAGAATGGACATTTTCCTCTTCCGGACCTGGCTGACCCTCTAAACTTCTGGAGGACTAAGAATTGTCTGAAGCCCTATAGGTGGGCCTGACTCCCAGGCACAAGAAGCTCCTCCCTCAAAACCTCATCTTCCTTGGCTGGACATGGCCAGTTTTGCAGCCAGAAATCCAGATGGACTTGCCTCCAATCCCCAGCCCCACCTAGCCTGGGTCTGGGGGCCAGTCACTTAGCAAATCCTGCAGTCTGTCTGCTCTTCCACTTCCTCCCTTGACCTTTCCTCTAGCACATGGTTTGATGTTTCAGGTGATATCAAGTTTCCTTTTCAAAAAATGATTCCAAGCACAAACAAGTGAATTCATGTAAATCACGTTTGAGTTAATGTGGGAGTCGAGGGGCCTCTTGAGTCTTCTTCCCCGTTCAGCTTTCACAAAGCCCTCTGAGGATCTAAGACTCCACACTAAAGTTACCACGTGAAAACACAGGATGCAGGCCAGGTGTGGTGGCTCATGCCTATAATTCCAGATATTTGGAAGGCGGAGGCAGAATAGCTTGAGGCCAGGAGTTCAAGACCAGCCTGGGCAATGTAGGGAGACCTCATCTCTACAGTAATAATTATAATAGCCAGGTCAGATGGTGTGTGCCTGTAGTCTCTGCTGCTGGGGAGGCTAAGGTGGGAGGAACCCTTGAGCCCAGGAGTTGATGTCAGGGATTTCTTTCTTTCTTTCTTTCTTTTTTTTTTTTTTTTGACACGGAGTTTCGCTCTTGTTACCCAGGCTGGAGTGCAATGGCACGATCTCGGCTCACCGCAACCGCTGCCTCCTGGGTTCAGGCAATTCTCCTGCCTCAGCCTCCCGAGTAGCTGGGATTACAGGCACGCGCCACTGTGCCCAGCTAATTTTTTGTATTTTTAGTTGAGACGGGGTTTCACCATGTTGACCAGAATGGTCTCGATCTCTTGACCTCGTGATCCACCCGCCTCGGCCTCCCAAAGTGCTGGGATTACAGGCTTGAGCCACCGTGCCCAGCCTTCCTTTCTTTCACAGAGTTTCATTCTTGTTGTCTAGGCTGGAGTGCAATGGCGTAATCTTGGCTCACCACAACCTCCAACTCTCAGGGAGCTATTTCTGTTTTTGTTTGTTTTTGAGACGGAGTCTTGCTCTGTCGCTCAGAGGGAGTGCAGGGGTGTGATCTCAGCTCACTGCAACCCCCACCGCCCTGGTTCAAGCAATTCCCCTGCCTCAGCCTCCCGAGTAGCTGGGACTACAGACATGTGCCACCATGCCCAGCTAATTTTTTGTATTTTTAGTAGAGGTGGGGTTTCACCATGTTGTTCGGGATAATCTCAACCTCCTGACTTCGTGATCCACCTGCCTCAGCCTCCCAAAGTGCTGGGAATACAGGCGTGAGCCATCGTGCCCTACACCATTTTTGTTTTCTGTTTTTAGAGATGGGGGTCTGACTGCCTCCCAAGTGGGAGTGCAGTGGTGTGATTATAGCTCTCTGCAACCTTGAACGCCTAGGCTTAAAGGACCCTCCCACCTCAGCCTTCCACCTGAGCAGCTGAGGCTACAGGTGTACACCACCACGTCCAGCTAATTTTTTAATTTTTTGTAGAGATGGAGCCTCACTGTGTTGCCCAGGGTGGTCTTGAACTCCTAGCCTCAAGTCATCCTCCTCCCTTGGCCTCCCAAAGTGCTGGGAATACAGGCATGAGCTACTGGCCCGAATAACCAGTTTTAGATGAACTGAACCAGGGAGGCAGAGATTGCAGTGAGTGGAGAACGCACCATTGCACTCAAGCCTGAGCGACGAAAGCGAAACTCCGTCTCAAAAAAAAAAGAGGTTTACTTGTCCATGATAGCAGCCAGGAAGGAGCAGTTATGAACACTCAGGTCCACAATGTCTCTTGTGTCCACATGTTCCACGTTTGTCGTGTGACCAAAGGCAGGCCCTAAAATAGGGCCCACCTGTGAGCCCCAAAGCTGCGGCCACGGACTCTGAAGACCTGACAGAAGTTGGCCTTACAGTATCCAGGCACCGTCCTAGAGCTAAGTGCCTTGCCTCCCGGGGCCCACGGAGAGCCTGAGTGCAGTCGAATCGTTCCAATCAATGAGAAGTCGGCCAGGTGCGGTGGCTCACACCTGCAATCCCGGCAGTTTGGGAGCCTGAGTTGGTGGGATCGGTTGAGCTCAGGAGATGGAGGCGTCAGTGAGCCGCGATCGCACCACTGCACTCCAGCCAGGGTAACGGAAAATCCCCTGTCTCAAAAAACCAGACGAAAGCCAGCCAAGTAAGTGACAAATCCGCGTGGGAGCTTCCGAGAGGGAGGGGTTGGCCCGGCGAGGCTTGAACGCCTGGCCGCAGGGGATCCGCCAGCCTCGGCCTCCCAGAGAGCCACGGCGCCCGGCCGGCCCTTGCACCAAGCTTAGAAAGGCGGCGGCATCCCGACCGTTTTGCAGACGGGGAAGCGGAGGCCCAGAGGGAGGAGGCGGTTGTGCGTCACCTCGCAACCTGGAGTGCGCCAGATTCCCAGCGTTAGAGTCTCGAGGCATCCGGGTCATCACAGGGCTTGTCATTGCAGACCCTGGTTTAGAGAGGAACCGACAGAGTATCCAGAAAGCTTTAAAGTGGGATGGCTGCGTGACCCACACTTTACAGAAGGGAACACTGAGGCCCGGGCTGGGCCCACGCAGACTCGCAGCCGCCGGGGCAGGGCGCCCTCCCCGACCTCCAACCGGCAAAGGGAATCTCCCGCGTGGGGTCACGGGTGGCTCCTCGGGCGCTGAGCCAGCCCTCTGAGCGGCCTCCGACCCGGGTGCTGACGCTGCAGTGGCCCCAACCGGTCGCCCACACCGGGCCGCGGTTCTCCGGGCTGCCCGAGCCACATCTTGCGGCCGGACCAACAGCTCGACCCCGCCCGGAACTCAAGCGCCGAGGCCCAGCGGCTAGTCCCTCAGAGACTCCCGGGTACGTCGCTCTGGGCGCCCGGAGGACTGCGGTCTCGATGGTTCTACAGACCCGCGCAGTGTCCGGATTCCTCCCACCAGGTGGGGCGCTCCAGAGGGGCCCAGGACACAGCGCCTCTTCCCGCCTTCTTAGGGCCTGAGGGAACCGGTGGGAAAGGCCTGTGGGGGCAGCGCAGAGGCTTGCGGGAAATGCAGTTCCGCTCGGAGTCCTATCCGGACTTGGCCCGGAATTCTGCAGCCGAGAAGGCAGCAATCACTGTCCCGGGGCACTGCGCGTCATTTACCTTAGCAACTGCCAATCTCCCCCGACCCTTCTCCCGCCATCTTGCGAGGAGTGCGGGTGGAGACTTTTGTCTTCCGGCGCCTTCATGGGATTGGCCATTGCCCTGGAGATGCCGCACGTCATCCCGCCCTCCCGTGCTCGGTGCTGGTGCCAGGATCCTAGGAGGCCGAGGGTGCTAATGTAGAGACTCCGGACAGGACCGAGTAGTACCAGGACGCCCCCAAAGTACCTGAACTGTGCGCTTAGACTTCCCCTATCCCCATAACCAAGTGCTTCCGGCTCCGTGATCCATAGTTTTCTAAATCTCAACCTCCAGCTACCCCAAGCCCAAAAGCCTTATTCTGTCGCATATCCTACCTCTGAGTTTCCCTGGTATTCATCGCTAGCTAATTCTTGCCTCCAGGACTCCCAAAACCCAGGTCCCCATTTGTTCCCCCACTTTTTGCCTTGCACCCCTCAATCTCAGCTGTGGGAAAAGATGGCCAGGGGCAGACTTGTGTTACTTATAGTTAAATGGTTACAAGCTTGCTTTGCCTTTTTTTTTTTTTTAAGACGGAGTTTCGCTCTTGTTACCCAGGCTGGAGTGCAATGGCGCGATCTCGGCTCACCTCAACCTCCGCCTCCTGGGTTCAGGCAATTCTCCTGCCTCAGCCTCCCGAGTAGCTGGGACTACAGGTGCGCACCACCATGCCCAGCTAAATTTTTGTAATTTTTAGTAGAGACGGCGTTTCACCATGTTGACCAGGATGGTCTCCATCTGTTGACCTCGTGATCCACCTGCCTCGGCCTCCCAAAGTGCTGGGATTACAGGCGTGAGCCACCGCGCCCGGCCTACTTGCTTTGCCTTTTATACACTGAGGTTTGTTCAGGAATCATATCCAAACTACGGTGTAGTAAAATAAAAGCACAGATCAAGTGGTAACACGAGGCCTATGGTAAAGACCGTCTGAGAGCGCCCTACAACCTCGGAACACTGAGCTGTGGCTGCAAAGCAGAAAAGAAAAACTGCTTTGGTCTCACAACTCTTCCCAACATAGAGTTTGTGTAAGGATCTCCTAAAGGGAGTTTATGCAAAAGAGTATAGGAAGGAAACACGACATCTGCTCATAACACTCGGGGTGGGTATTCGCAGACAGGAGTTGAAGACCAGCCTGACCAACATGGAGAAACCCCCGTCTCTAATTTAAAAAAAATAAAAAATTAGCTCTTTCGTGGTGCATAACCTGTAATCCCAGCTACTCGGGAGGCTGAGGCAGAAGAATCGCTTGAACCCAGGAGGTGGAGGTTGCAGTGAGCTGAGATGGCACCATTGCATTCCAGCCTAGGCAACAAAGCAAAACTCCATCTCAAAACAAAACAAAACAAAACAAAAACACATCACGTTCTCCTGGGCCAGGTGCAGTGGTTCACGCCTGTAATCCCAGCACTTTGGGAGGCTGAGGTTGGGGGGATCACCTTTAGTAGACAGGGGTCTCTACTAAAAACACAAAAAATTAGCCAGGCTTGGTGGTGCACGCCTGTAACCCCAGCTACTGGGAAAGCTGATGCAGAATAGCTTGAACCTGGGAGGCGGAGGTTGCAGTGAGCTGGGATTGTGCCACTGCACTCCAGCCTGGGCAGCAGAGTGAGACTCCATCTCAAAACAACAACAAAACAAATTACCACAAACTTAGTGGCTTAAAACAACCATAATTTATTCTCTCAGTTCTAAAGGTCAGAAGTTGAAATCAAGATGTTTCAGGGCCACACTCCCTCTGGAGGCTCTAGAGAAGGATCCTTCTTGCTTCTTTTAGTGCCTGGTGGCTCCAGGCATTCCTTGGCTTTTGGCTGCAACACTCCACCCTCTGCCTCTGTGGCCCTATAGTTGTCTCCCCTGTGTCTCTCCTCTTCTGTCTCTTATAAAGACATCTGTCACTGGATTTATGGTCCACCCCATTCATCCAGGATGATCTCATCTCGGGATCCTTGACTAAATTACATCTGCAAAATTTTTTTTTCCAATAGGTCACACTGACTGGGTCTGGGTATTAGGGCATGAACTTTTGGGGGCTGCCATTCAATCCATTATAGGTGGGCATCCCATGGGAGCAGATAGTGGCTGGGCCAAAGTAGCCCATGAAGGATCAGCCATGGGCACAAGGCCAGGTTTGGGATGCACCAGGGCCAGGCTTGGCTCTGCCAGGCAACCGGGTGGACTGAATCCAGCATACTTCAAATGAGTTGATAATTAGGCTCCAGACTTCAACAGAAAACCAAGGAGCCAGTAAGGGCATTAAGGAGCCATCACAAGGGCATAAGAGCAGCTGACAATAAAAGACTGGTTGGTAGGGAGGACAGGTGAAGTGAATGCCTGACAGTGGCCAAGTGGCCCAGCAGGGCCCAGAGGGTGGCTTCCCAGAAGTGGGGAGTCCAGTCTGGGGCCGGTCACTCAGGATGGACACAATGTACCAGGAAGTGAGATGGGTCTCTGCAGAGTTCCTGGGGTCCTCATCCAGGCCGAAGAACACAGCACCAGCAGCCCTAGACCTATGGGGTCAGACTCTGCACCTTGTCCTAGCACCCTGGGGACCTGGGGAGGCTGAACCACCCTGGGCCTGTCAGGGGGGTGCATGAGTCTTGGCTCTGCAGTATTCCCCACCCCACCCCACCCCGCACCTGCCCTGTGCACCATGGTGGGTCATTCTCATGAGGTCTATAAAGATGTACGTTATTAAGTGACCATGGTGGCCGGGCCACAAGGTTCACATTGACCTCACCTGATTGCATTCTCATTTCCACACTGAAGGGGAAAACAGGTTCAAAGGGGTGGGCCCACTGTCCTGATGACTGCTGCCTGTTTGCTCCCACCCTCCCTACAACCAGCACCCTCCATGCCCCTCACCCAGGACCAAGGAGAACCCCACCTAGTCCTTCCTGCAATCACACAGACACCAGTGGGAGCCCCAAGGCTGCTGCTCTGCACAGGATGGAGAGCAGGGGTAAAAGCCATGGGTGGCAATGGTCGGCCATGCCCCCGCCACCAGAGGCTGAGGTCTGACCCCCTGACCAGGTCAGCTTCAGGGCATGTGTCCTTTCATGAGCTGTGACTGACCACGGTCCTAGGAACCCCCTGTGGGGAGTCACCAGCAGTATTGGGACAGAAACACCCCTGGAATTGGGGTAAGAAGAGGCTTTACAGTTAGGCAGTGAAAAAAAGGCTGCTAGGCACCTGCTATGTGCATGCCCCAGGGGTGGGAGTAGGAGGGCAGGCCCAGCCCTGGGACTGACTGTGAAAAGGCTGCCCTGGGTCAAGTGCCTGGGCCCTTGGAATCCCGAGTTGGAGAGACACCCCCTTGGAAGCAGAGGTGGGCATCAAAGAGCAGCACCATGTGGTCCTAGAGTCTGACTTCGGAAAGGCCGCATCTAGGCATGCTGCAGGCAGAGACAGTGACCGTGGTGGCTACGTCTGGAAACGCCCAGTTCTGCTCATGAGCCGAGGTCTAAGAAGCTGGGACAGGCAGAGGGGTAGGAAGGGGTCATGGGCCGGCAGACTGTTCACACTGGCTGCCAGGGTGGCCAAGCGAGTAGTGTGAGCTCGGGCACTCACTACCGTGCCAACTCCACGCACGGATGAGAACCTTGGGCTCGAAGGCCCACGTCCTTCAACACGCATTAGCTCAAGCCCTGAGAGGGTTCACTGACTGCCCCCAGTCAGGGCTGAGGGGTTCAGAGGCCCTACCAGGGGCAGCTGGGGGAAGCGATAGAAGTGGGGGGCAGGGGATTGTGTGCTGGTGGGAATCACCTCCTTCATCTCATGGCTTAATCGTTTATCCTTCCTTTCAGCCTTGGAGAGATCGGCCCGTTCAAGAGGCACCCCTGAGAGCCAGGTCTGTAGACACGAGAGCCTCGTGTCGGGAACCCTGAGGGCAGGGGTCTGCAAGCCCTCGCGCGGGCCCCCCGGCCGTGGAGAACGCAAGGACAAACACGAAGGGTCCCCGACCTACCGACCCCCTCCTCCAGGACCCCGCGCGTAGACAGGTCTCCTCTCTTGCACGCGCGCGATTACTGCACAGCAGAGGTGAAGGGCGCGGAGGTTGTGGGGGTCCCAGCGTGGTATGACAGGAGGGGTCCAGCGGGAAAAAGACCCAGCCCGAGGCTCAGGACCCAGGACACGAGAGCCTGGGACTCCTGGGCCGGGAGGTTGGGCGGCGGGGGGGGGGGGGGGGGCGGGGGGGGGGGTGTTAACGTGTGCATACGCGCATGCGCGCGACGACCCGGCCCTACAAAGGGCGGCAGTGACCACTGGGCCCTACTCCGCCAACCCAGGGCCGCATCGCGCGCGTGCCTGTGAGGCGGCCGTGGCCCGGCGAGGAACCAGAGGGAACTGAACTGGCTACTCCCGCGGCAGGTGGGACCTAAGGTCAGCAGCTGAACAAAGAAGAGAGCGCGGGCCGGACGTTTTCCCTTATTAGACATGGCGGCGTTGGCCTCAGGGGGATCTCTGCGCTTGTGCAGGCGCCTACAAGCTAGGGCAAGTACTGGATAGCCGACATCCGCCAGGCACGCTTCTAGGTCCGCTTCTGAAAGTGCGCATGCGCTTGGGCTGCATGCGTTTCGTCCAGCCCAAAACGCTCCTCTACATCCTTCCTCCGGATTGGTCCGTAGGGACACGATGGCCTTTTACGCAGACGTCGCTCCTGCTGACCCGGAAGTTTTCCTCCGGTTAAAAGCCTTGGATCGCTGCGCGCGGCCTTTTCCTGTCTGTACCAGGGCGGCGCGTGTTCCACGCCGAGAGAGAGAGACGCGCAAGCTGTGCTCTCAGGTGAGACCGCCTTAGGACCGGCGGTCCTTGGGACGGTTCAGGGTCTTTCGGGAATCATGTCCCGCGGCCTGAGCCTTTTTTCATTAGATCTCACTTCTGCATCCGGGAAAAAGAACGAAGAAACGGATGCGGGACGAGTTCCTCTTGACTTCCTTTGCTCCGCCGCTTCTAGCTTTTCCGCATGGCGGGGCTCGGGGATCTTGGTTTGGACGGTGCAGTTGCACTCTGAGATAGGAAGTTTCCATTCTTAGGCACACGAATGTTGCCTTGGGTCAAAGAGGATGTAAATGGCATGGTTGGGGTTTGAATTACAGCCGTTGCAATGTCAGGACATTTGGCATCTGCTGAGGCGTTATAACTTGGTCCTATGCGGCAGCTGTTGACTGATGACTGCCAAGCCTTGGGCCCAGGGGTTTTAGGTTAAAGACAGATGCTTCTTGTTCAGAGCTGAATAATTTTTCTAGTGCTTAAAAACACGTTCACAGCCTTTCTTGGTCCTTTGCAGTGCCCCAGTTCAACACTGGATGGCGGCTAGCCTCAGAATTGGGATGAGTGTGCCTCTGCTCCGCGCTAGCTGGGCTCTGACATTTTTTTTTCCTGTTGTCACCTTGCCCCAGGATGACCGAGTGGGAGACAGCAGCACCAGCGGTAGCAGAGACCCCTGACATCAAGCTCTTCGGGAAGTGGAGCACCGATGATGTGCAGATCAATGACATTTCCCTGCAGGTGAGGGGAACTTGGGCCTTCCCGGCTGGGGACTAACATGATTCCCGGAAGGAACACATCAAACTTGTTGCTGTGCCACTAAGTCAAGAATAGAGGTCATAACAGGTAAAGAAGGCATCCTACGACCACCACGTCTACCACATCCCTTCTTACATCCTGTTCAAAGATTACTACAACTTTTGTCATGAGACGGCTCTATAATCAGAAGGAACAGAATCACGGCACCAAAATAAAAAATTTAAAAAAGGAGCATGACATCTGACATACGGTACTTTTGTTACCGTTTTTGTAGTAAAAATGCATACAACATCCACTGTCATTCTTTTGCAGGTGAATATCTAATTAGTACCATCTCTTAAAGGGATTATTTTTCTCCTCAATTGAATGGCCTTGGGCACTTGTTAAAAATCCGCTGGCAATAGATGTATGGGTTTCATTATGGAGGCCCAGTTATATTCCATTGGTCTGTATGTCTGCCTTGATGCCAGTACCACACCTTCTTGTCTTACATTAAGTTTTGGAATCAGGAAGTTGTGAGTTGTCCTAATTTGTTCCTACTCTTTACAGTTTTACAAACCCCTTTTGTACCCTCCGCACCAGGGCATCATTATGAATGTTGTGGGCCTTAGGAACTTTTGCTTCTGTTAGCCCTATTTTGTGACTGCATTGTTATAAAGATGAATATAGTTTGGGTTGTACTTCACTCACTTCCCTCTTTGAGACAGGATCTCTCTGTCACACAGGCTGGAGTGCGTGATCACAGTTCACTCTGCAGACTTGATACACCTGGGCTCGGGATCCTCAGCTAGCGGGAAACACAGGTGCATGCCACCAAACTTGCTACCTTTCGTTTTAGAAAGAATGAAAACTTTTTTGTTGTCTGTAAAGATGTCTTATTTTTATTTTTGAGACAGAGTCTCGCTCTGTCGCCCAACCTGGAATGCAGTGGCAAGATCTCAGCTCACTGCAACCTCTACCTCCTGAGTTCAAGTGATTTTTTTTAAGAGACGGGGTTTCACCATGTTGGTCAGGCTGGTCTTAAATACCTGACCTTGTGATCCACCTGTCTCAGCTTCCCAAAGTGCTGGGATTACAGGCTTGAGCCACCGCGTCTGGCTAATTTTTGTATTTTTAATACAGACAGGTTTTCACCACGTTGGGCAGGCTAGTCTCAAACTTAAGACCTCAGGTAGTTCACCCGCCTCACCCTCGCAAAGTGCTGGAATTACAGGCTTGAGCCACCACACCTGGCCTCTGTTACTCGTTTTTATGTGTTACTTTTCTTCTGTGTGTGTGTGTGTGTGTGTGTTACTTTTCTCTTTAAAGCTTTTGCGAAACAAATTTAAAATATCAGTTATTGTTCACTATCTCTTGTTCTAGTAAACATTTATTAAGTGCTTGTTCTGCTAGGGAAATAAACATCGATGGGAGTTCACTGTGTTTTAAACACCTGTGCAGGAGGGCTCCACTGTTGGGCCAAAAACCCTTGCTGGGAAATTTGGTGTTTGGATTTTTTTTTTTTTTTTTTTTTTGACGGAGTTTCGCTCTCATTACCCAGGCTGGAATGCAATGGCGCGATCTCGGCTCACCACAACCTCCGCCTCCTGGGTTCAGGCAATTCTCCTGCCTCAGCCTCCTGAGTAGCCGGGATTACAGGCGCGCACCACCATGCCCAGCTAATTTTTGTATTTTTAGTAGAGACGGGGTTTCACCATGTTGACCAGGATGGTCTCGATCCCTAGACCTCGTGCTCCACCCGCCTCGGCCTCCCAAAGTGCTGGGATGACAAGCGTGAGCCGCCCCGCTCAGCCTTGGGAACATTAGGTAATGGAACTGTCAACGGCAGTTTCCTTTGAATATACATAGCTCTCCTCAGTCTTACCTTTTACACATGCAAGTTTAACTTTTTGGCATTTATAGATTTTTGTGGAGGGATGGCTATGTATGTATAGTATAGGAAGGCAGCTGTTTTTCTGGGCCAGGCACAGTGGGTGGCTCATGCCTCTAATCCCAGCACTTTGGGAGGCCAAGGTTGGTGGATCATCTGAGGTCAGGAGTTCGAGACCCGCCTGACCAACATGGTGAAACTCCATCTACTAAAACTACAAACATGAGTCACGTGTGGTTGCGCATGCCTGTAGTCCCAGCTGCTTGGGACTTGTCCAGTCTGGACATTGAGAGTGAAACTCCATCTCAAAAAAAAAAAATAATAACTGAGCTGGGCATGGTGGCATGCACATGTAATCCCAGCTACTCAGGAGGCTGAGGTAGGAGAATAGCTTGAACCTGGGTGGCGGAGGTTGCAGTGAGCCGAGATGGCGCCGTCCAGCTTGGGTGATAGAGCGAGACTCTGTCACAAAAACAAATGGTGGCTCACGCCTGTAATCCCATCACTTTGGGAGGGCCAGGTGGGTGGACCACCTGAGGTCAGGAGTTTAGACCAGCCTGGCCGACATGGCGAAACCCCATCTCTTCTAAAAATAAAAAAGTAGCCGATTATAGTGTCGTGTACCTGTAGTTCTAGATACTGGGGAGGCTGAGGCAGGAGAATCGCTTGAACCTGGGAGGCAGAGGTTTCAGTGAGCCTAGATCGCGCCACTGCACTCAAGCCTGGGAGACAGAGTGAGACTGTCTCAAAAAATGAAACAGAAAACCAAAAATCTTTCTCAGTCTGGTGGTCATTCCCCTGTCTTAGGGGACACTTCGCAGTGTCTATTTTTAGTTGTCAAAACCGAAGGTGACGGGACCAGACACAGTGGCTCGTGCCTGTAATCTCAACACTTTGAAAGGCTGAGGCAGATGGGTCACTTGAGGTCAAGAGTTCAAGACCAACCTGGCCAATATAGTGAAACTCCATCTCTAATGAAAGTACAAAAAATTAGTAAGGTGTTGTGTGACACATGCTTGTAATACCAGCTACTTGGAAGGCTGAGGCAAGAGTATCACTTGAACCAGGGAGGTGGAGGTTGCAATGAGCCAAGATCATGCCACTGCACTCCAGCCTGGGCAACAGAGCAAGACTCCATCTCAAAAAAAAAAGAACCAGGCTGGAGGCTGGGCGCAGTGGCTCATGCCTGTAATCCCAGCACTTTGTGAGGCCAAGGCAGGCAGATCACCTGAGGTTGGGAGTTCAAGATCAGCCTGGACAATATGGTGAAACCTCATTTCTACTAAAAATACAAAAATTTGGCCTGGCTTGGTGGTGTGTGCCTGTAATCCCAGCCACTCAGAGGCTGAGGCAGGAGAATTTCTTGAACCCAGGAGGTGGAGGTTGCAGTGAGCCAAGATTTGCACTCCAGGCTGGGTGACAGAGCAAGACTCAGTCTCGAGGGGGAAAAAGAAAAATTTGGGCCAGGCATGGTGGCTTACAGACTGTAATGCCAGCATGGGAGGCTGAGGTGGGCAGATCACGAGGTCAGGAGATTGAGACTATCCTGGTTAACACAGTGAAACCCTGTCTCTACTAAAAATACAAAAAATTAGCTGGGTGTGGTGGCGTGTGCCTGTAGTCCCAAATACTCTGGAGGCTGAGGCAGGAGAATCACTTGAACCCAGGAGGTGGAGGTTGTAGTGGGCCAGAATTTCGCCACTGCACTCCAGCCTGGGCAACAGAGCTTGACTCCCCCTCAAAGAAAACAATTGAAGGGGTTGCCAGTGGCATAGCAGATGCTGTTAAATGTGCTGTAGTGCAGAGTTAGAGAAAGTGGAATCATGGGCCCTCGTCTCCTTACGTTCCCACTCCCATTCATTATGAAGTAAGTATCCTTTTCGGTGACTTAATAAAGTCACCTGTTCCAGGTTTTTTTCCTCATGGTGCATGGGGCTTACATCCCAGTCCCCTGGAAAGGCATAGCAGGACCCCAGACAGCTGTCGGGCTACCTGAATGGGTACTCGTTTCCTCCTCTGGTCCCTGGCCAAGGCCCATGCTGCTCCTGACCACTGTCCCTTCGTTTCCTGCTCTCTGCTGCCCAGGATTACATTGCAGTGAAGGAGAAGTATGCCAAGTACCTGCCTCACAGTGCAGGGCGGTATGCCGCAAAGCGCTTCCGCAAAGCCCAGTGCCCCATCGTGGAGCGCCTCACCAACTCCATGATGATGCATGGCCGCAACAATGGCAAGAAGCTCATGACTGTGCGCATCGTCAAGCATGCCTTCGAGATCATCCACCTGCTCACAGGCGAGGTAGGGCTCTGATGGCACAAGCCCCTGGTGTGTATGCCGCGCTTATCCCGTGTGGTGTGGTCACTCTGACAATGGGGGAGGCATGCATGGGGCTGGATGTCGGGCTCAGAGCCCCCTTCTCTCTAGAACCCTCTGCAGGTCTTGGTAAACGCCATCATCAACAGTGGTCCCCGGGAAGACTCCACACGCATTGGGCGAGCCGGGACTGTGAGGCGACAGGCTGTGGACGTGTCCCCACTGCGCCGGGTGAATCAGGTGAGCCTAGAGCTTATGCACGTGGGAGGGTGGACACAGCCACAGGAGTGGGTGGAGTCTTGCCTGCGGCAGGAAGGCTTGTCTCTGTTGCATGTTTTACCTGCAACATCACTTCCTCTAGGAAGCCTTCCTGGATTCCCACCCTCCATGGGGGCAGATCCAGGCTCTGGATCTTCTGGACCACATTTGGCTGAGGTTTATTGGATAGTTGAAGAATCAGTTGCAGACATTACAGTAATTTTCCCCTTAACACAACAGATATCTTAAAAACAGGGATGACCTATCCCCATCGTCACTCCCCCCCAGAAGGAATTTAACAGCGATAGAATAATCAGATTAGTCATTGTTCCATTTATGCCTCTTCCCAGAATGTCCTTTTTTTTTTTTTTTTTTTTTTTTTGAGACGGAGTTTCGCTCTTGTCGCCCAGGCTGGAGTGCAATGGTGCGATCTCGGCTCACCGCAACTTCCGCCTCCTGGGTTCAGGCAATTCTCCTGCCTCAGCCTCCTGAGTAGCTGGGATTACAGGCACGCGCCACCATGCCCAGCTAATTTTTTGTATTTTTAGTAGAGACGGGGTTTCACCATGTTGACCAGGATGGTCTCGATCTCTTGACCTCGTAATTCACCCGCCTCGGCCTCCCAAAGTGCTGGGATTACAGGCTTGAGCCACCGCGCCTGGCCTCAGAATGTCCCTTATAGTGGCCAGTTGTCAATTTTGGGTCCCAATTAAGAGCATATGTATTGCCCTTTTTTCTCCCCCCCCTTTAAAAAATTGTTTTTGGGAATGACTGAGATGGCGTCTCTCTGTTTCCCAGAGTGTTCTTGAACTCTATCCTGCCCCCTCAGCCTCCCAAAGTGCTAGGGTTTCAGGCGTGAGCCACCACACCTGGCTGCATTTTTTGTTGTTGGGGTTTTTTTTGTAGAGATGTGGTTGCCCAGGCTGGTCTCCAACTCCCAGCCCCAGTGATCTCCCACCTCAGCATCCCAAAGTGTTGGGATTACAGGTCCAAGCCACCACACCAGGCCATATGGCATTTTGCTGTTGCGGCAGGTCTCAATCTCCTGTCATTGGGGACCCAACATCAGCCTGTGTGTGTCTGTTCTGGACACTTGCTCTTGTGGCCCTCTTCCTGATTGCAAATCTGGCATGATGTCTTCATCTCCCCTAACATCTTGTCTCAGTGGGCCTATGGGAGACAGCATGGCTGCCAGCATCTGTTGGGGGTGGGCCCAGGGTGCTGGCGGACCGCAGCCTGTCATTTTAGCCTGAGCCTGCTCTCTCCCTAGGCCATCTGGCTGCTGTGCACAGGTGCTCGTGAGGCCGCTTTCCGGAACATCAAGACCATTGCTGAGTGCCTGGCAGATGAGCTCATCAACGCTGCCAAGGTTTACAAGGGCACTCTGGTGGGGGGATCTTAAGTGGACCATTCGGTGGGGGTCCTTCAGATTCAAAACTGTCTGTCTCCTTGCAGGGCTCCTCCAACTCCTATGCCATCAAGAAGAAGGACGAGCTGGAGCGTGTGGCCAAGTCCAACCGCTGATTTTCCCGGCTGCTGCCCAATAAACCTGTCTGCCCTTTGGGGCAGCCCCACCCACCTGTGCCGTTGTCTGTCTTCAGTGGGGGTGTGGGTGGCATGGCCCTGGTGGCCTTGGGAGTTGGTCGCCTTCCTGACCTGTTGCCTGTGGGGACCTGGAAGCATTGCTGACTCAGAATCATGGCACCCAGGGCTAGCAGGTGGGGCACTAGTGGTAGGCCAGGCTGCCTGGAGTGTCCCAGCAGGTACTAGAAATGAGACATGGGGTTGTCCATAACTTCTGGCACATGAATTATCGCTGTGGGGTGGGTGGCCTGCGTGGCTGTGAGTTCTGGGTAGTTACAAGGCCATCCTGAGAGGCTTGTTGAAATAGCCCTGGGGAGAGAAGGAAAGTTCAGGTGTTTGGGCCACACTATTGCAGACCTGGTTTCACCCGCTTGGAGTGTGGGTTGCCCTCCTGGTTACCTCCCCAGCCATACTGGTTGTGGCTGCAGCCTGAGCCTGTACGCCCAGTTCCCTTCCACCAGTTTGCATGCAGTATGATCAGGCCGGTGGCACAGGTTGGGACCCACCCAGGGCCACAGGCTGGTGACTCCAATAGAAGATTCATCAGGTTCTGATGGGTGTGGTGGGCCCAAGCCCGCCCACCCTGTGCCGTCACCTTTCCACCGCCCCCATCTCACCAAGGCAGGCTTGGTGTTCATCCTGGTGGGGCTGGTCCAGGGGGCGGGGCAGGCAGTCAAACGGGTCCAGCGGGTATCGGACCTAGAGGGGTGGCCCCAGATGAGCACCCTCCTCCTGGGAGGGTACTTCTGAACCCAGCTGCAGGTAGGCCAGAGACGGGTCAGAACAGGCAGGGACACGCCACGGGCCAGAGGGAGGAGGCATCCACAGGTAGGTAGGGTCCCACAGCCTGGCTGGGGTCTGTCATTTCTCTGGACAGCCCGTGGCCTTGTGCTGGGCTTCTCAGCAGCTGGGATCCTTTCCCTTCGCTGGAGTCTTTGGTCTTCCAGGTTGTCTGCTCCTGTCGGTTGGGTCCTTTCCATCCCTGTCTGGTGTCTTCCCCAAGTCTGTGTTGAGCTCCATTCTGTCTCACCGTTTCCAGTTAAGGAGCCGGTCCCCCGTGGGTTCATTCCTATCCCCAGTCCCTGCCACGGTCTCCCCATCTACTCTGCTCCTCGACGCTGGCCACACGCACCCTTCTGGGGAAGGTCCTGTTCTGTACTACGGGATCCTCTGCAAAGTCCAGTCCCGTCTTCCCTGGAGTTCCTGCTGGTCTCAGAAGCGGCTCCATGCTCCACCCCACTCCTTCCCTACCTGACCACCCTCTCCTCGCAGGTCCGTCCGGATGCCCTGCCCTCGGCCGCCCTGGCTCCGCCGTTCCCGGGCCCTTCAGGGCTCGGGTCCCAGCTCCCCAGGCTCGCTCTCTGCACCCCGCTCCCCGAGCAGAGGGGAGGACCAGGACCAGGACGAGGAAGAGGAGGGAGACTGCAGCCCAGGCTCCGACCCCGTCCTGCTCCCCGCCTCCCCTGTGGAGTGCCTCATCTGCGTGTCGCCCTTCGACGGCGTGTTCAAGCTGCCCAAGCGCCTGGACTGTGGCCACGTCTTCTGTCTCGAGTGCCTGGCGCGCCTATCGTTGGCCACGGCGGGCGGCGGCGACGCGGTGGCCTGCCCGGTGTGCCGCGCGCCCACGCGCCTGGCCCCCCGCCGCGGACTGCCCGCGTTGCCCACGCAGTCCGCTCTCCTGCCCCGCGACGCGCGCGCGCCACCCTCGCGCCAGGGCTCCGTGCGCTTCGACAGGCGCCGAGGCCTCCTCTACCTGCGGCCGCCGCCGCCCCCGCCCGGGCCACGTAAGTCCCGCGCCCCGCGCGCCCAGCCGCCCCCGCCACCTCTGCGCCTGGGCCGCCCGCTGTCGCGCCGCCTGACGCTGGACAGCCCGGCCTGGGTCTTCAACGCGGCCGTGGCGGTGGCCGTGCTGGTGACCGCGGGCCTGGTGGTCTCGGGCGTCTACATCTTCTTCCTCATTCCACACGCCACCTCCTCTGGCCCCGCGCGGCCCCAGCTCGTGGCGCTCGCCCCGGCGCCCGGCTTCTCTTGGTTCCCGCCGAGGCCCACTCCGGGGGCGCCCTGGACCCCCGCCTGGACGCCGCGCCCCACAGGCCCTGACCTGGATGCGGCCCTGCCAGGAACTGCAGAAGGTGTGCTGGAGCCCAAGGGGGGTCCCGAGGACCTGGCAGAGGCGGAGGAGGGACCCGAGGCCCCGGCGGAGACGAAGGGGATGCTGGACAAGCAGCCGGACAGCCCGTGGGACACAGAGGCTGGACCCGGTTGGGCCCCGTGGGTACGGGGCGCAAGGAGGCTGTGGCGCCCACAGTAAGTGCGCCCGCGCTGCAGTCCTACCGCTAGGCCTGGCACCTCCGTGTCATCTGAGGGCCTTAGCAGGGTGCACGGCACTTACCTGTTTCTCCAGATTGGGGCCTGGAGCAAGCATCCTTGGCATTGTCACCATGAGGCAGGTCCCTCTCAAGGAGCAGCCACCGCAGTCGTCCCACAGGGATCCGCTGGTAACACCCCGACCCCCATTCTTGTGGCTGTCCAGTGCTGGGATTACAGGAGAAGGGTGCCCTAACCATGACTTCTGTAAGGGTCCTGCTGGGGCCTGGTCTAGAACCCAGACTCCTTGGGGGTGCAGTTGGAAGCATCCCTAATCCTCATCCCTTGTGAGAGTCCAGCTGCGAACACCCCCCGACCAACATCCATGCAGGTGCCCAGCCAGAGGCAGCCCCACAGTGATCCTTGAACGGGTCCTGCTGGGAGTGTCCCCAGTCACCCTCACCCCAGAGCCCTGGGGAAGCATCCTTATCAGCACCAGAGGCCGAAGGCCCTGACCCATTCATCTTTTGAACTGGCTACAGGTGGCAGGGGCCCGCCCATCTTTGGAGGGCAGAGCTGCTGCTGCTATTATTCCCTGGTCACGTGTCTCTTCAACTGGCCCATTGCAGGGGCCCTCCCACCACTCCACTGTCTGTGGAGTTTCTTTTCTACTGCCTGCAATCTGGGCCTGAGTGGGCTCCAGCTGTCTACCCGCTGATCCCGGGCCTATGGTTGCATCCTGCACACCTCGTTGGGGCTGGGGAGGAACCTGAGTCTTAGAGACTTGCTCTCACCCCAATCCTAAATCCCCAGCTGCTCTGGGAGCCTCAACTTCCCCCTGGGTTGTGGCTTCTAGGATCGTCTCAATATGCTGTGCTCATCATGACTCAGGCCAAGGTCACCCCAGGGGTCACATAGCAGCAGACAATGGTGGGAGTGGGAGTCCTGGAACTCCTTGGTTAGCCATAGGGATCCTAGTCCCTTTCCCTGGCCACCAGAGTCCCCATCAGCCCTGATTAATATCTTGGTGCCAGTTTCTGCACTTCTTCCTCCAGGGCTCCATCTGTCACTCAGCTTCCTTTCTTGTGCCTCAAGGTGAAGCCTGAGCCTTCCTGATAGCAGCCTCCAGGGAAGGTGTCTCGTGGGCTCCTGTCTTCTTCCTTTCAGAAGTCTTCCTGGGTTCGTTATTGGGGGTTGATGGCAGCTATCCTCTGTGCAGATTCAACATGGGGCTTCTGTCTCCTCCCAGGCCCTGCACCCCCCGATCCTGCCTCACTTTATTCTGGGGAGGAGTGCTGTATTTTGGGAATGGGCACCCAGCATGTTCCAAAGGGAAACATGACTTCTCTGTGGCTGGAGGCTCCTGTTTGATTTATGTGTGTCCTCGGCACCAGCATACAGTAGGTGCCAAATAGGGGAGTGACAGAATTGCAGGTGACCCAGGCAGCCTGGGAATAAACGCTGGGTGCAGGACTGTTTAGAGCTAGCTCTGGTGTGAGCTCCCGGTGGGATCCAGAGGAGGAATACTAGGGAGTCCATGGGCATGTCTTCTCAGACCAGTTCTTGCCCACACTCACATGCCAATGTCACCTGCAGGGGCTGGGACCAGTGCACTGGGTCACTGGGCAGCCACAGCTCAGCCTCATAGGGAAGGAACCTCATCAGAGAGCATCCGAGTTGGTGGTCTATTCATTTCATCTGGCTGCTGTGACAAAATACCCCCAACCCAATTCTTTAGAACACGCGTTTATTTTAATTAATTTATTTTAAATAATAATAGTCTCACTCTGTCACCCGAGCTGGAGTGCGGTGGTGCAATCTTGGCTCTCTGCAATCTCCGCCTCCTGGGTTCAAACAATTCTCCTGTCTCAGCCTCCTGAGTAGCTGGGATTATTGGGCACCGGCCACTATGCCCAGCTAGTTTTTGTATTTTTAGTAACGACAGGGTTTCACCATGTTGGTCAGGCTGGTATTGAACTCCTGACCTTGTGATTCACCCACCTTGGCTTCCCAAAGTGCTGGGATTATAAGTGTGAGCCACCGTGCCCGGCCTTATTTTATTTATTTATTTCGTTTGAGACAGAGTCTTGCTCTGTGGCCCAGGCTGGAGTGCAGTGGCGTGACCCCGGCTCATTGCAACCTCTACCTCCTGGGTTCAAACGATTCTCCTGCCTCAGTCTCCCAAGAAGGGATTACAGGCCTAAACCACCACGCCCAGCTTTTTGTATTTTTTTTTCTTTTTTCCTTTTTTTCTCTAGTATGCAAATATCTTAAGCTTTTTGTATTTTTTGTTGTTGTTGTTAATCAATGAGAGCTTGTTATGTTGCTCAGGTTGGCCTTGAACTCATAACCTCGCCTCCTCAAGCGCCAGGACAACTGGCCAGAGCCACCGCGGCTCCCAAGCTTTTTGTATTTTTAATAGAGACAGGGTTTCGCCATGTTGGCCAGGCTGGTCTTGAACTCCTGGTCTCAAGTGATCTACCCACCTCAGCCTCCCAGAGTGCTGGGATTACAGGCTTGGGCCACCGTGCCTGGCTAAACACACACTTACTACCTTACAGTTCTGCAGTTCAGAAGTCCACGATCAGTTTCACCGGGCTAGAGCTGAGGTGCCCAGAGGGCTAGTTCTTTCTGCAGGCTCTAAGAGAGAATCCATTTCATTAGTTTTTTTCCAGCTTCTAGGGCTCCATTCCTTGATTCCTGGCTCCTTCAAAGACAGCAGTGCAGCATCTTCAAATCTCTCTGACCCTCCTGCCTCACTCTTTCACTTCTAAGGACACTACGTGTATGTTGCACACACCCAGATAAACCAAGATAGTCTCCCATCTCATGATCATTAATTTAATCACACATGCACAGTGCACTTTGTGGTGTCAGGTAAAAGACTCACAAGTTCCAAGGATTCAGACCTGGATATCTTTGGAGGCCATTATTCTGCCTGCCATAGCATCTGAGATCCTCTTCATTGCCTCCCTGTCCCACCCCAACCTAGGGGAGTGGGGGTGTACAATAATAGATCTGACCCAGGTGGGCCAAGGAGAGGGGTTAGAAAGGGGCCCTTGCGTGGTGGTGAGCAGAAGAGAGAGGATGCTCTGTGTCTGAGGGTGGTCCAGGAGGGCTTTCTGGAGGAGGAAGCTGTATCCTAAGGGATGCTGAAGAGCTGGTATTGAAGCCAGTGGCATAGCCTATTGCAAAGACGGGTACCTGGGGAGGCCAGGGGTGGGGCTGAGGGTAGTGGGTGGGGCTGACCCCATTCTCTCTTAACCAGCTCCCTCCTAGGGGCGTTTCTGGCTTCTGCATTCTACCAGCTTGGAGCCAGGAGCCTCATTCTCTCTTGCAGTAAAATGAGTCTGATAACTGAGCCTAGGGGTTGCTGAGCATCTGGTCTGCTCATTACTACCTTGGTTCCAGGTGTCTGCCTGTCTACCCCTGCCTTTAAACAAAGGAGCTGCCTGAAACCACCGAGGGGGAGGCCTCCCACCTTTGTCCGGCCTCAGCTCTCCTCTTTCTCTTCCTCAGAGCTGATGTTGCGCCCTCCTAGACTCCCTCTGCCCACCCCATCACTGCTGTAAACCCTGCCCCTTGGCACCTTGACCCCAGACTTGCTTCTCCTGGGAGGTCTGGGTATTTGTGAAGCGCGGTGCCAGGGATCAGCATGGGACAGCCTTTTATTCTCTTTTCTGCGTATCGACGACAATAAATCTTTTTCCTTCATCCACAAGTGTTTACTGAGCGCCTTCTATGCACCAGGCGGCACCAGGGCACGTTGGGAGCGAGGACCAACTTCAGGGGGCAGATGGGGTCCAGGAGGCTGAGCCGACCGAGCCATGGTTCTGGACTCACTGCCTCCTCCGTCACTCTCAGGGGGGCCTCTGCTCTCCAAGCCTTTCCCAAATCCTCCTGTCCAGCTCTCCTCCCCACCTTGCAGGAAGTACGCCAGGGTCCGGTCTACGGGTTCCGCCATTCTTTCCTCAGTGAGGGTCGGAGAGGTCCCTGCCCATGCCAGACCCGTCGCCGGCCGTCGTCGGGGCACCCTCTCGTGATCAGGCCGAGGGACCAAGGGCCAAGAGGGGGGCTTCGCGAGACGCTGGAAGCATCATTGTCCAGACTGACATATCGGGAAACTGAGGCTGACCAGCTGGGCAGAGCGTGCATTCGAACCTGGGTCCTGGAAGCGATCTGCAAGATCCCTTCTCACCTCAACCGCACGTGGCGGCATCCTTGGGCTTCCCTCCTTCCCCAGATCACAGACGCAGTTCTCTCCTCCACCCTCGAGTCACGGTCCTGCCTTCTCCCTCCTCACACCGGGGATGGGTCCCGGCGGGCCCAGAACGCGTAGAGGCCTTCGGGGAAGCGCGGACCAATTGGAGGCGCAAAGTAGGGCTGAGGAGGCGGGACTCTTGTAGCCATAACAACCCACCCCGCCTTTCCAGCGCGCACACTGCTTCCGCCACGCAGCCGTACTAGGTGCGGCAGGGAAAGCGCGCCAAAATCGACGGCCAATCAGGGGCCGAGGACAGTGTTGCCACGACGACCACGCTGCGCGGACAGTGCGTCAGGCCCTGGAGCCGCTGGGAACTCGGGGTGCCGGCGAGAGAGACCAGTGGGTTTCAGCGCTCTGATGGTGCTGGCGCGAGCAAAGGCCGCGACGCGTAGAGCGACGCTTTGGGACCCAAGATTGTGAGACCCGAGGCTGCGGGGCCTTAGTGAGCAACGAGCGAGAGAGTCAGGCACCTCGAGCACCCTCCCACGTTTCGTCTCCACGCCACGCCGGGGCTTAAGTTGTTAGGGGCCGGTGGCCGTGAGTACAGTTCATATAATTATGAATACTTTTTTTTTTTTTTTTTTTGAGATGGAGTTTCGCTCTTGTTACCCAGACTGGAGTGCAATGGCGCGATCTCGGCTCACTACAGCCTCCGCCTCCTGGGTTCAGGCAATTCTCCTGTCTCAGCCTCCCGAGTAGCTGGGACTACAGGCACGCGCCACCATGCCCGGCTAATTTTTTGTATTTTTAGTAGAGACGGGGTTTCACCATGTTGACCAGGATGGTCTCGATCTCTTGACCTCGTGATCCACCCGTCTCGGCCTCCCAAAGTGCTGGGATTACAGGCGTGAGCCACCGCGCCCAGCCGGTGAGTACAGATCATAATAGTTATGAATACGTTTTAACAAAGGTACAGGCCGGGCGTAGTGGCTCACGCCTGTAATCCAAGCACTTTGGAGGCCAAGGTGGGCGGATCACCTGAGGTCGGGAGTTGAAGACCAGCCTGACCAATATGGTGAAACCCCGTCTTTAAAAAATAAAAAAACAAAGCTCCAAACACACAGTATAATGTGAGGATCCGATATAAAGTGGACCTTCAAAAAAAACCAGTTTTTTAATTTTTTTTTAGCCCGACGTGGTGGCGGGCGCCTGTAGTCCCAACTAGTCGTGAGGCTGAGACAGGAGAACCGCTTGAACCCGGGAGGCTGTGGCTTCAGTGACCGTGCCTGATCAATGTCTTGTACTTTATTAAGAGTAAAGCAGGCTGGGCGCGGTGGCTCACGCCTGTAATCCCAACACTTTGGGAGGCCAAGGCAGGCAGATCATGAGATCAGGAGATGGAGACCATCGTGGCCAACAAGGTGAAACCCTGTCTCTACTAAAATTACAAAAATTATCTGGGCGTGGCGGCAGGTCCCTGTACTCCCAGCTACTCAGGGAGCTGAGGCAGGAGGATCGCTTGAATCCAGGAGGTGGAGGTTGCAGTGAGCCAAGATTGCGCCTTTGCACACTCTGGCCTGGCGACAGAGTAAGAAGAGGAGCATTAATTGTGACATGCATGTGAATTCACACCAGAGTACAGCTGACCAGTGTGTGGCAGTGTCTGCTCACATGTAAACCACAGTTCCCTCATGACATGCCCAAGAAGGCATGTGTAACGAATCAAATACCTACACTGTTTTGAAGGGAAACTGTCTATAGGGCATTGTTGCAAATAAACATCCGTTGCTAAAGAGAAGAAAATATGTGCTTATTTTAAATAGTGGACAGAGTCCCCACTCAGGCCTACGTCCTGGTGACTTGGAAGTTCCCACTCTGCTCTGCTCCTCCTTCCTGAGGAGCCTGATCAGCTGCATGCTGGGGGGTTGTCTCATCCAATGTCTATAAAGAAGTACTAAAGGAGGTTTTGTTTTGTTTTTCTTCTTTGAAACGGAGACTCGCTCTGTTGCTCATGCTGGAGCACAGTGGTGCAATCTCAGATCACCACAACCTCCATCTCCCAGGTTCAAGCGATTCTCCTGCCTCAGCCTCCCAAGTAGCTGGGATTATAGGCACGCACCACCGTGCCTAGCTCATTTTTGTATTTTCAGTAGAGATGGGGTTTCACCATGTTGATCAGGCCGGTCTTGAATTGTCCATCTGCCTCGGGCTCCCAGAGTGCTAGAATTACTAGCATAAGACAGTGTGCCCAGCCCTAAAGGAAGTTTTTAAAGCTGAAAGCGGGTGACCCAACACAGTAATTGTCATCATGAAAAAATTAAAAGCACCAAAGTATAGGCCGGATCAGGTGGCTCAAACTTGTAATCCCAGCATTTTGAGAGGCCAAGGCAGGAGGATTTGTTGAGACCAGGAGTTTAAGACCAACCTCGGTAGCATAGCAAGACCCCATCTGTACTAAAGAGTAAACTAACTAACTAAATAAAAACTATAAATGCATTTCCCTCTCCCACTTTTTTTTTTTTTTTTGGTTGGGGGAAACAAGGGTTTATAGAGTGCCCAAGTAAGATGGTTACAAGTACTGGGAACAGTAAACCTCGGCAAGCTGCCTCAGGCCTCTGGGGAGGCAAACTTCTCTAAGCCTTCATGTTTCAGGTGCAGAGTGACCTTGACTCTGTTACAGTACATAACATGCTCAAGTTACTTTTGTAGCATTACAAAGTAACCAGACTTGTAGGCTCCTTGTAAGACTCACTCCCTCCAGTTGCTCCTAGAATACAATCTTTTTTTAATATATTTATTATTATTATTATTTTTTTTTTTTTGAGATGGAGTTTCGCTGTTGTTACCCACACTGGAGTGCAATGGCACGATCTCAGCTCACCTCAACCTCCTCCTCCTGGGTTCAAGCAATTCTCCTGCCTCAGCCTCCCAAGTAGCTGGGACTACAGACGCGCACCACCATGCCCAGCTAATTTTTGTATTTTTAGTAGAGACGGGGTTTCACCATGTTGACCAGGATGGTCTCGATCTCTTGACCTCGTGATCCACCCGCCTCGGCCTCCCAAAGTGCTAAGATTATAGGGGTGAGCCACCACGCCCGGCCCACTTTAATTCTTAATCTTTTTCTCATCCCTTTCTTGTCACTGAACTCAGGTCACCCACGGGTAGGGTGTGGGGGCTGGTTCCCTACATATTTTTGAGACGGAGACTTGGCCTGTTGCCCAGGCTGGAGTGCAGTGGCCCAATCTCTGCTCACCACAACCTCCGCCTTCCGAGTTCAAGCGATTCTCCTGCCTTTAGACTCCCAAGTAGCTGGGATTACAGGCGCCCACCACCATGCCCAGATTTTTGTATTTCTAGTAGAGATGGGGTTTCATCATATTAGCCAGGCTGGTCTTGAACTGCTGACCTTGTGATCCTCCTGCCTTGGCCTCCCAAAGTGCTGAGATTACAGTGAGCCACTACCTCTGGCCTCTTCTTTCTTTACTGATGTGAAAAACAAGTATGGGGCCGGGCACAGTGGCTCATGCCTGTAATCCCAAGACTTTGAGAGGTCCAGGTGGGCCTGTGGCACATGCCTTTAGTCCCAGCTACTCCAGAAGCTCAGGTAGAAGAATCACTTGAACCGGGGAAACGAAGGTTGCTGCTGCACTCTCGCCTGGGCAACAAGCGAGATTCTGTCTCAAAAAAAAAAAAAAAAAAAGAATTTTTTTTGAGGCAGGGACTCACTAGTCTGTAGCCAAGGCTGGAGTGCAGCGGCCTGATCTAGGCTCACTGTAACATCCACCTTCCACGTTCAAGTGATTTTAGTGCCTCAGCCAAGTAGCTGGAATTACAGGCACATGCCACCACACCCAGCTAATTTTGTATTTTTAGTAGAGACAGGGTTTCACCATGTCGGCCAGGCTGGTCTTGAACTGACCTCGAATTATCCACCCAACTCTGCCTTCTAAAGAGTTGGGATTACAGGCGTGAGCACCCACACCCCTGGCTCCTAATTCTACTGTTTGATCTATAACAAAAATATATTTGCCAATAACAGCAAGAGGATGAGGGTGGAGCAGAGACACTGGACTGAGGAAAGACACCAGAGAGTAACTCACATTGAATGCACAGGTGTATTCATGTGTCCAGCCTCATCAAATTGTACATTTAAAATGAGTGCATTTTACTGTACGTTATTTGTTCATTTATTTTCAGAGACAAGGCCTTAGAGTGTATGTGTCCTAATCTGGAGTACACTGGCATCATCATGGCTCACAGTAGCCTTGACCTTCCTTTGGACTCAAGCAGTCCTTCTATCTCAGCTTCCTGAGTAGCTGGGACCACAGGCGGCAGATTATTGTTGTTTGAGATGGAGTTTAACTCTTGTTACCCAGGCTGGAGTGCAATGGCACGATCTCGGCTCATCGCAACCTCTGCCTCCTGGATTCAGGCAATTCTCCTGCCTCAGCCTCCCGAGTAGCTGGGATTACAGGCATGTACCACCACGCCCAGTTAATTTTCTAGTTTTAGTAGAGACGTTTCTCCATGTTGGTCAGGCTGGTCTCAAACTCCTGACCTCAGGTGCTCCGCCCGCCTCGGCTTCCCAATATGCTGGGATTACAGATGTGAGCCACCGTGCCCAGCCTTACCTGGCAGGTTTTTTGTATTTTAAAAAAACATTTTATAGAGACGGGGTCTCCATGTGTTGCCCAGACTGGTCTCAAACATCTGGCTTAAGCAGTCCTCCCACCTCAGCCTCCTCAAGTGCTCGGATTTCAGGCATGAGCCATACATAGTGCCTGGCCTACTGTATGTTATACATTAACAAAATTGGCTAACCAAATCCAACTAGAAAACATTGGTAAAAACTTGAGCAAATGCTTCACTAAACAGGATATATAGATAACAAATATGTCCATGTAAAGACACTCAACAGCTACTGGTTGTGGGAATGTAAAATGGTACAGCTACAATGGGAAATAATTTGGTAGTTTAACACATTCCAAGTACACTTACTGCACACCCTGCAGTTGCACTCCTTCCTGGACATTTATCCCCCCAAAAGTGAGCACTATGTCTACACAAAAATAAAAATTTGTTCATAGAAAACTCAGTACAAATGTTCATAGCAGCTTTATTTGTAATAGCCAGATAAAGGTGCACAACTCAAATATTCTTTTTTTTTTTTTTTTTGAGACGGAGTTTTGCTCTTGTTACCCAGGCTATGGCGCGATCTCAGCTCACCGCAACCTCCGCCTCCTGGGTTCAGGCAATTCTCCTGCCTCAGCCTCCTGAGTAGCTGGGACTACAGGCACGCGCCACCATGCCCAACTAATTTTTTGTATTTTTAGTAGAGACGGGGTTTCACCATATCTCTGGGAACCGATCCCAGGATGGTCTCGATTTCTTGACCTAGTGATAAGCCCGCCTCGGCCTCCCAAAGTGCTGGGATTACAGGCGTGAGCCACCGCGCTCGGCCCTGGCTGGGACGTTTTTCCGAGCCCTGGTCGGGACTCCATAAAGCGGACACAATATCAGGGAGAGGATTTCGAGGCGGCTGCGGGCACAGGAGGGCTTCTGCTGAGACCCCGCCGCTGCGCGGTCCGATGGCCCCACGGGGCCGCCCTTCCACTGCGGGGTCACCGGGGCTCAGCAGCATTCACCGCCGCCAGGACGCGTCCAGGTCACCTAGGCAGAACCGTCCGACTCTCGCGCCTTCGCTTCTGTTCCTGGGGCAGTGGAGCCTCCTCCACGCCGCCCACCGCCCAATGATTCCACAGTCGAAAGGCGCGCCAAAGCAAGTGCCTAAAGCCAACGCCGGAAGCCCCGCCCCCCACGAGGCCCGCCAGATCGTTCACCTTCCTGGGCCGCCATTGGCTACGTCTGCATGGCAGCACGTCCAGACGCCTTATGGGAAATGTAGTTCGCGCACGTTTCCCCCCCCCGCCCCCCCCGAGCTAGCGGCGTCCTCCCTTGTCGCCTTGGCAACGACCTAGCCGCGCCGCGAGGAGAGCCGGGAATGGAGGTCGTGGCTGAGGGGCGCCGAATTCCCAGAGTTCTGGGAGTTCCGGCGTCGCCAGGGACCCTCGCCGCGCCCTCCATGCACCGTGTCCCACCGGCGAGTGGCTCTCTTACTCAGACCTGTCGCTCGCGGACAGGCGCCGTGGGGTCTCCCGGGCCCCTGCACCGCCCTCCTTCCCCGCGGCTCCCGAAAGTGGCTCCTTGTTTTCGGATGCATTTCACCCGCGCGGGGAGAGCGTCCCCGGAAGATTCCACGGCCGCCGAGGGCTTCCGCGTCCCGGACGCGTTTCGGTTGAGGCCGAGGGTCCGGGCCTGTTCCGCCGTCACGGTCCAATGGCCGGGGAGGTGCAGGTGAGGGGAGGGTGCCTCCGAGGAATGAGGAGGGCCGCCAGGTGTGGGGGCAGTATGTCCCAGGGCAGAGCTGGAGGAGGGCAGGGTCTCAGAGATCTGCATATGGGTCCAGGGGGAGGTCTTTGGTGCAGGGCTGGGGCATGCCCGTGGCAGTGGGAGGCATTGGAGATATGCCGCAGGACCGGGGCGGGACGGGGTTGTATTGCTGTGTCAGGCGCTCTGTCTGGAGACACAGGTGCAGAACAGCGTGTGTGGAAGGCCAGGCAATGTAGGGCGAACTGGGGGGGGGTTGTGCTGAGGGTGTAGACCTCTACGCATGCTGTTCAGTTTGTGCCTGGTGAGCAGGAGGGCAAACTAGGCCCTGAGACCAGGTACTTGGCACCGGGGAGAAGGATGAGCATAGGTTTGGTTGCATCTGAGAGTTGTGATCTCTGGACTGGAAATGGCAGGCAGGAGATAGAGTGGGGCCTGTGTGCTTGGCCCCGAACATAGATGGCACCAGTCTGGTCACCAGCCTGTTGTCACTTTGGGCTGGACACAGTGTCCAGTAGTAACACTAGAGGCATCAGTGACGCCAGCAGTTCTGGTATTCCTCTGAGGCAGAAGGAAGATATGTGTAGGGAGTATGGCGGGGAAGGGCTTGGGGCTCCTAGGGAAAGATAATGTCAGTGGGAGATCCCAGAGGGCCCTCAGACACAGGTCAAGGGCATGTATGTGTCCATCTGTCCATATTTTGGTTGTTTTTTTTCTGCCCATCATTGACCCCAAGGCTCAGTTGGACCCATCATTGCAGGGCTTGGTGATGTTTGAGGATGTGGCGGTATATTTCTCCAGGGAGGAGTGGGGGCTCCTTAATGTGACCCAGAAGGGCCTATACCGGGATGTGATGCTGGAGAACTTTGCACTCCTTAGCTCACTGGGTAAGTCTCTCACACTGTCCCCCAGCACACCGACTACCTCTGCATTTTCCCCATGGGCAGTTCTGTCCATATCAAAGTCAGACCACAGGGCATAGGGCCTGTTTCCTTCCCAGATTCGCTGTCGTAGTTATTGTGGGTGCTAGGACTAGGCTGGCTTTTTCCTGGCCTTTTCCCTGCCTTTCTCTGAGCAGTACTGATGGCACTGTCAACACTAGCCCCAGGAGCTAGTGGAGCAGGTTTTGGGGGTCAGATGTTTCATAGTTTGCCCACCAAATCCCATCAAGCTCTGCCTCTTCCTGGCCATGTGACTCTGTTGAAGACATGGCCTCTCTATGCTCCCAGTTTTCCCTTTCTACAAAAGAAATTTTACAGGGAACTCCCTGGGCCAGCCTTGAACCATGAATTTTAATCAGAACAGTTTGGGGAATATTACCATCCTAATATTCATATTAAGTCTTTAGGTCAGTGAACATGGGATATGTTTTATTTATTTAGCTCTTTTATTTTTCCGATAATGTTTGGTTTGTTTGTTTTTTTTTTTTTTTTTTTTTTTTGAGACAGAGTCTTGCTCTTATTGCCAAGCTGGAGTGCAGTGGCGCAATCTTGGCTCACTGCAACCTCCGCCTCCTGGGTTCAAGCAATTCTTCTGCCTCAGCCTTCTGAGTAGCTGAGACCACAAGCACATACAACCATGCCCGGCTACTTTTTGTATTTTTAATAGAGACGGGGTTTCACCATGTTGGCCACAATGGTCTGGATCTCTTGATCCTCGTGATCCGCCCGCCTCGGCCTCCCAAAGTGCTGGGATTACGCCTCCCAAAATGCTGGGATTACGCCTCCCAAAATGCTGGGATTATGCCTCCCAAAATGCTGGGATTACAGGTGTGAGCCACCGTGCCAGGCCTTGTTTTGTCTTTTTAAATAATGTTTTATATTATCAGTGTACAAAGATACTTTTGTTAAATTTATTCTTAAGTACTTTATCCTTTTTGATGCTTTTTCATTTTTACTTTCTTGAGACAGAGCCTTGTTCTGTCTCAAGAGGTTGGAGTGCAGTGGCACAATCTCAGCTCACTGCAACCTCTGCCTCCGGGATTTAAGCAGTTGTCCTGCCTGAGCCTCCTGAGTAGCTGGGACTACAGGTGCGTGCCACCACGCCTGGCTGATTTTTGTATTTTTAGTAGAGATGGGGTTTCGCCATGTTGGCCAGGCTGTTATTGAACTCCTGACCTCAGCTGATCCACCCACGTTGGCCTCCCAAAGTGCTGGTATTACAGGCGTGAGTCACTGTACCCAGACTTTTTGATGCTATTTTAAATGGAATTATTTTCTTAATTTAATTTTGGATTGTTCATTGCTAGTTGTAGAAATATACTCATTTTTTTGTATACTAATCTTGTCTCCTGAAGCATTGCTAAATCTGTTTATTAGTTCAAATAGTTTTTAGTGGATTCCTTCCTATTTTCCATATATAAGATCATGCCATCTATGAATAGAGATAGTTTTGCTTCTTCCTGTGCCTCACTGACCTAGCTAGACCCTCCAGTTCTTTATTCAGTGGAAATGGGGAGAGGAGACATCCTTGTTCCGTAACTTAGGGTGTTCAGTCTTTCACTATTAAATATGGTGTAGCTGTTAGTTTTTGGCAGATAGCCATTTCAGCTGAGGAAGTTCCCTTCTCTTTCTAGTTTCTTAAATGTATTTTTAAGAAAGGTCACGACCGGTCGGGCGCGGTGGCTCAAGCCTGTAATCCTAGCACTTTGGGAGGCCGAGCTGGGTGGATCACGAGGTCAAGAGATCAAGACAATCCTGGTCAACAAGGTGAAACCCTGTCTCTACTAAAAATACAAAAATTAGCTGGGCACGGTGGTGTGTGCCTGTAATCCCAGCTACTCGGGAGGCTGAGGCAGGAGAATTGCCTGAACCCAGGAGGCGGAGGTTGCGGTGAGCCAAGATCACGCCATTGCACTCCAGCCTGGGTAACAAGAGCAAAACTCCGTCTCAAAAAAAAAAAAAAGAAAGGTCACGACCAAGTGCAGTGGCTCACACCTGTAATCCAAGCACTTTGGGAGGTCAAGGGGGGTGGATCACCTGAGGTCAGGAGTTCAAGACCAGCCTGGCCAACATGGTAAACCCTCACCTCTACTAAAAATACAAAAATGGCCGGGTGTGGTGGCACATGCCTGTAATCCCAGCTACTTAGGAGGCTGAGGCAGGAGAATCTCTTGAACCTGGAAGGCGGAGGTTGCAATGAGCTGAGATTGCACCATTGCACTCCATCCTGGGCAACAAGAGTGAAACTCTATCAAAAAAAAAAAGAAAAAAAAGATAAAGAAAGGTCACTAAATTTTGTCAGATACTTTTCCAATGTCTAATGAAATGATCATGTGATTTTTGTCCTCTCTTCTGTTAACGTGGTGTATTACAGTAATTGATTTTCTTTTTCTTTTCTTTTCTTTCCTTTTTTTTTGAGATAGAGTCTTGATCTGTTGCCAGGCAGGAGTGCAGTGGCAAGATCTCGGCTCACTGCGACCTCCACCTCCCTGGTTCAAGCGATTCTCCTGCCTCAGCCTCCTGAATAGCTGGGACTGTGCCACCATGCTCAGCTAATTTTTGTATTTTTAGTAGAGACAGGGTTTCACCACGTTGGCCAAGATGGTCTCGATTTCTTGTCCTCACGATCCGCCTGCTGTGGCCTCCCAAAGTGCTGGGATTACAGGCGTGAGGCATCGCACCTGGCAGTGTAGTTTTCTCACAATGACGTTATCGAGTATGAGGGTAATTTTGGCTTCCATGGATAAGTTGGGAAATGTTTCCTTCTCTTCTGTTTTCTGGAAGAGTTTGTTAAGTATTGGTGTTAATTCTTATTCTTTACTGTTAGTATTGACCATTGAAGTCATCAGGGCCTGGTGTTGTGTGTGTGGTGGGGGGAAGTTTTTTAATAACAACAAGAAAACCTTTTTTGTTATGTGTTTGTTTAAATTTTCTATTTTTTCTTGAATCAGTTTTGGTAGTTTGTGTCAACTTGGGAATTCGTGCATTTGATCTAAGTTATCTCATTTGTTGGCATGCATTTGTACATAGTATTTCATGATAATCTTTTAATTTTTATTATGTCACTAGTGATGTCCTTTTTCCATTCCTATTTGTGGTAATATTGGGTCTTCTCTCTATTTTTTTCACTCTAGGTAAACATTTGCCAATTTTCTTTATCTTTTCAAAGACCCAAATTTTGGTTTATTGTTTCTCTTTATTTCTTTATTTTTTATTTTTATGTATTTATTTTATTTATTTATTTATTTATTCATTTATTTATTTATTTATTTATTTTGAGACGGAGTTTCGCTCTTGTTACCCGGGCTGGAGTGCAATGGCGCAATCTCGGCTCACCGCAACCTCTGCCTCCTGGGTTCAGGCAATTCTCCTGCCTCAGCCTCCTGAGTAGCTGGGATTACAGGCACGCGCCACCGTGCCCAGCTAATTTTTTGTATTTTTAGTAGAGACAGGGTTTCACCACGTTGACCTGGATGGTCTCGATCTCTTGACCTCGTGATCCACCCGCCTCGGCCTCCCAAAGTGCTGGGATTACAGGCGTGAGCCACCACGCCTGGCCTATTTTTTTTTTTTCTGAGATGGAGTTTCGCTCTTGCTACCCAGGCTGGAGTGCAATGGCGCGATCTCGGCTCACCGCAACCTCTGCCTCCTGGGTTCAAGCAATTCTCCTGCCTCAGCTTCCTGAGTAGCTGGGACTACAGGCGCGCACCACTGTGCCCAGCTAATTTTTGTATTTTTAGTAGGGATGGGGTTTCACCATGTTGACCAGGATGGTCTCGGTCTCTTGACCTCGTGATCCACCCGCCTCGGCCTCCCAAAGTGCTGGGATTATACGTGTGAGCCACCATGCCGGCCAGTTGATTTCTGTTTTAATTAGTTTGTAGACAGAGAACATTATTTCAGTCCTTTGGAATCTATTAAGGCTTATTTTATATTCTAGCAAATGGTATGCTCTGAAGACTGTTCCGTGTGCACGTGAAAATGTATATCCTGCTGTTGTTAGGTGGCATGCTCTATAGATGTGTTAGGTCCAGTTGGTTTTCATTGTTGTTCAACCCTGCCCTGTCCTTTTTCCTTTTCTTCTTAGTGATTCTATTCATTATTGATGATGGGAAATTGCAATCTTTATTATTGCTAAACTGTCTGTTTCTTCAATCATGTCAGTTTTGCTGCATAGGAAGGCTTTTTTTTTTTCTGTTTGTTTGTTTCTTTGAGACAGGGTGTCACTCTGTTGCCCAGGCTGCAGTGCAGTGATTTGATTGTGGCTCACTGACATTTTGACCTGGGCTGAAGCAATCCTCTCACTATAGCCTCCCGAGTAACTGGGACTACAGGTGCATGCCAACATGCCTGGCTAATTTTTAAAAAATATATAATTTTTGAAGAGATGGGGTCTTACTATGATGCCCAGGCTGGTTGCAAACGTCTAGCCTTAAGTGATTCTCCTACCTCAGCCTTCCAAAATGTTGGGACTGTAGGCACGAGCCACGATGCCCAGCCTGTTTCTTTTACTACCTATCAATCCCAGGACTTGCACCTTCAAGATCCCCTGTGTTTACCCAACTGGTGGATGACGAACAGTCCTGTGTGACCAGCTGGGTGGATGTGACTCTAGTCAGCAGAACAGAAGCCAGCAGAGGTCCTGTTTCTGGTCTTGGTAAGTGGAGCAGAGGGGAATACCTTGGTTTCAGCAGTGGGCTCACAGAATGCTGGGTACCTGCATACACTCATACCTTGGTGTTGAGGGCAGTAACCACCTTATTTCCACCTTTCCTCTTATCTGAACACTGTGCAGTCTGCCATCTCTACTGTGACTTTCAGGATCTGCGTGTTCCTGCCTCTTTGGCCTGTGTCTCTTCATTGCCCTTCTCTGTATTTATGCAGAGCTGTCTACTGTTGTCCACTCAGTGCATGACTTGAGATGTGCACATATCCTTCAATAGGTATTTGAACTTCAGCCAACCTTTAATTAATACTTAAACACCAGCTACCATGGCCGGGCGCAGTGGCTTAAGCCTGTAATCCCAGCACTTTGGGAGGCCGAGGCGGGTGGATCACGAGGTCAAGAGATCGAGACCATCCTGGTCAACAGGGTGAAACCCCGTCTCTACTAAAAATACAAAAAATTAGCTGGGCATGGTGGCGCGTGCCTGTAGTCCCAGCTACTCAGGAGGCTAAGGCAGGAGAATTGCCTGAACCCAGGAGGTGGAGGTTGTGGTGAGCTGAGATCGTGCCATTGCACTCCAACCTGGGTAACAAGAGCGAAACTCTGTCTCAAAAAAAAAAAAAAAATACTTAAACACTAGCTACTATTTTGCAATCAGATTTTGCTGGAACTAGACACTTGCCTTCTCACAATGCTCACCTGTCCCCAGCAGCCAAGGTCCTGCTGAAACCCTTTGCAGAGGAGTGACTTGGAGACCCCACCTCTCCTCCCTGCACTGCACCCTATCTTGTGCCCTCATTTCAATTGAGATCTTTCTTTTCTTTCCTTCTTTTTTTTTTTTTAAAGAGATCTTTCTTATTCTGTAGTCTAATGGAGCCATGTTCAGTTGGGCCAGCCTTTTCTAACCCAGACCTTTCCCAGCAATCTTTCAGCAATTCTCTGGAGTCCTTATGGGTGTGTCTGACATGCACTGGTGATGAAGGTACCTCCTGCCTCTAGTTCAACTATCAGTAATAGATTCATCTCTGCTTTCAGATGGTCTGTGTAGAGCGGAGGATGAGAGAGCCCCTCCCAAGCATGTAAAGAACTACAGAGTCATCCAGCACCAAGACCCTCGTAGTGCGGGGAAGCTAAGAAGGCACACTGAGTATGAGGCAGCCTTCCCACCTAGTTCCAGTTGTGGGCCACAGCAAGGAGTCCATGTGGCAGAGAAGCTGTTCAAATGCAGTGACTGTGGGAAGGTGTTCTTGAAGGCCTTTGCCCTCCTTGACCATCTGATAACTCACTCTGAAGAGAGACCCTTCAGATGCCCAACAGGCAGAAGTGCTTTTAGGGAGAAGTCAATTCATATTAACCCCCGAAAAATTCACACTGGAAAAACATCCCATGTGTGTAATGAGTGTGGGAAGGCCTTCAGTTACCCGTCTAAGCTGAGGAAACACCAGAAGGTTCACACAGGCATAAAACCTTTTAAGTGTAGTGAATGTGGGAAAACCTTCAACCGCAAAGATGCACTTGTTCTACACCAGAGGATTCACACTGGAGAAAGGCCTTATGCGTGCAGCAAATGTGGGAAAACCTTCAGTGTTCTGTCTACCCTCAGTAGGCACCAGAAAGTGCACACTGGAGAAAGGCCCTATGAGTGTACAGAATGTGGGAAGTTCTTTAAATATAGTAATAGCTTCGTTCTTCACCAGAGAGTTCACACTGGAGAAAGGCCTTTCGAATGCAAGCAATGTGGGAAGCCTACGTGACTCGTTCAGGCCTCTATCAGCACTGGAAAGTCCACACTGGGGAACGGCCGTATGAATGTAGCCTGTGTGGGAAAACCTTTACTACCAGGTCCTACCGCAATCGGCACCAGCAGTTCCACACTGAAGAGAGGCCTTATGAATGTACAGAATGTGGGAAAGCCTTCAAACATAGTTCTACTCTCCTTCAGCACAAGAAAGTTCATGCTTCAGAAAGGCCTCAGGAGGACAGGTCACATGGGAAAGTTGTTAGCTGCTAGCACTTGTGCATCAGAAAAGGTCTTTTTTTTTTTTTTTTGAGACGGAGTTTCGCTCTTTTCACCCAGGCTGGAGTGCAATGGCGCGATTTCGGCTCACCGCAACCTCCGCCTCCTGGGTTCAGGCAATTCTCCTGCCTCAGCCTCCCGAGTAGCTGGGATTACAGGCATGTGCCACCATGCCCAGCTCATTTTTTGTATTTTGAGTAGAGCCGGGGTTTCACCATGTTGACCAGGATGGTCTCGATCTCTCTCTCTCTTTTTTTTTTTGAGACGGAGTTTCGCTCTTGTTACCCAGGCTGGAGTGCAATGGCGCGACCTTGGCTCACCGCAACCTCCGCCTCCTGAGTTCAGGCAATTCTCCTGCCTCAGCCTCCCAAGTAGCTGGGATTACAGGCATGTGCCACCCGCTCAGCTAATTTTTTGTGTTTTTAGTAGAGATGGGGTTTCACCATGTTGACCAGAATGGTCTCGATCTCTTGACCTTGTGATCCACCCGCCTCAGCCTCCCAAAGTGCTGGGATTACAGGCTTGAGCCATCGCGCCCGGCCCAGAAAAGGTCTTATTCCAGAAAGAAGATTGAGGAGAGTGACTGTGAGAGTGCCATGTGAAAGAAGCTTAACCTTGTATATCCCAGCATCCTCCCTGGGGGGGGGTTCCCATGTGTGCCTGGTTTGTGGGAAGCTTTCAGGAGCCACACTGCGCTCTGACTTGCCTGGGGCTGTTGGCAGTGTCATGTTACTGTCAGTTAATGTGATAGAAACCATCCACTTCTATCCACCCTGTAAGATCCCTACAGCAAGTGGTGCAGCAGACCTTGGGTTCCTTGTTCTAAACTGTAGAGAATCATTAATGGTAGAGCCCAAAACAGCTCATTCCTTACCCCTGACTGGTCTAGCTGTGAACACGATCCAGCTCTGGCCAGAGGAGCTGAGCTGGTGTAAGCTGGGGGCTTGTTGGGAAGGTTTACCATTTTCATGGACGCGGTTGATATTACATGGGGTATTTGCCCTGCGCTAGCGTGGACAGTCTCATACTGCTCTGGACTGTGGTAATAAAGCCTTTATTGTTTAAGCCACTTAAAAAAAATTTTTTTTTTTGAGATGGTCTTGCTTTGTTGCCCAGGCTGGAGTGCAGTGGTGCCATCACAGCTCACCACAGCCTCAAACTCCTGGTCTCAAGGGATCTTCCTGCTTTAGCCTCCTAAGTAGCTGGTGCTACAGGTGTGCACCATCACACCTGGCTAAATTTTGGTAGACAGGGTCTCGCTCCATTGCCCAAGCTGGTCTCCAACTCTGAGCCTCAAGCTGTCCTCCTGCCTTGGCCTCCCAAAGTGCTAGGAGCCACTGTGCCTGGCCTAGTGTTTTTAGAGGCAGGGTCTCACAGTCTTGCCCAGGCTGGAGTGCAGTGGTATGATCCCAGCTCATTGCAGACTTGGACTCCTGGACTCAGGTGATGCTCTTGCTTAATAGCTAGGATTGCACTTGTGTGCCACCATGTTTGGCTAATTTGAAACATTTTTTGTAGAGACAGGATCTTGCTACATTGCCCAGGCTGGTCATGAACTCGTCGCCTCAAGCACTCTTGCCTCAGCCTTCCAAGTGCTGGTATTATAGTTGTGAGCCTCTGTGCTCCACCAAGTCACTTTTTTTTTTTTTGAGACGGAGTTTCGTCCTTGTTACCCAGGCCGGAGTACAATGGCGCGATCTCGGCTCACCGCAACCTCCGCCTCCTGGGTTCAGGCAATTCTCCTGCCTCAGCCTCCTGAGTAGCTGGGATTACAGGCACGCGCCACCGTGCCCAGCTCTTTTTTTGTATTTTGAGTAGAGACAGGGTTTCACCATGTTGACCAGGATGGTCTCGATCTCTTGACCTCGTGATCCACCCGCCTTGGCCTCCCAAAGTGCTGGGATTACAGGCGTGAGCCACTGCGCCCAGCCCAAGTCACTTTTAATATTGAGGTTCTCATCCCTGTGTGTGAAGAGATTGAGAATAGAATCAGGCACTATCACCATAAGTCGAGGGAGTGGCTTTTGTGGAGGCGGTCTCTTTTTTTCTGCCTCAGTGGGGATGGCAGGATGACAGAAAATAGTTCAAGTCAAGTAGTCAAGTTGGCCTAATTTGTATTGGCCCCTGAGTCATTCAGGGAAAGAAAGACCCGTAGCCTGCATGTCAGGTATGTTTGTGGGTCCAGAGCTCACCTTGAAGAAGGGGATAGTTGGTGTGAGATCTGTATGTTTATGGAGAGAAAACGTTGGGTTCCTTGTTCCCAGGGAATGTTCCAGAACTTCCAGCAATGGTCACAAGGAGCTGTTTCCAGATTCAGCTCAGAAGCCATATTCTCCAAAATCTGGAACGTGGAGGTAAGTTCTAGACTGACTGTAAAACCTATAGGGGCCTGTTGGGTAGAGTAAGTGGGCATAGAAATACCGAGTAAGGGTTGGGCATGGTGGCTCACCCCTGTAATCCCAGCACTTTGGGAGGCCTAGGCGGGCGGATCATGAGGTCAAGAGATCGAGACCATCCTGGCCATGGTGAAAACCTGTCTCTACTAAAAATACAAAAAAAATTAGCCGGGCGTGGTGTCACACGCCTGTGGTCCCAGCTCCTCGGGAGGCTGAGGCAGAAGAATCGCTTGAACCCAGGCGGAGGTTGCAGTGAGCCGAGATTGTGCCACTGCACTCCAGTCTGGCGACAGAGTAAGACTGTCTCAAAAAAAAAAGAAATACCGAGTAAGTAGTATGGAGTGAAGTGTCTGGTAAGCAAGAGGGCTTGAACCAACTCTAAAGAGGCATCCACAAATATTCCAGCAACTGAGGTTTTATGGGGTGAGGGCACCAGAACTCCTCAGCAATTACAGACGAGGTTACTGTCAGCAAATGATCTATAGGCTTTCTGGATTTTCATATCCTCTCTGGGCTATTTACCTCTCATGGCCATTATTATCCTGAGACTGAAAGATTCTGTAGTCCTGGGATGTGCCTTTTGTGACCCATCCAGTGCTTCTGGTGTCTCTGGATGCTGTGGCCTTTGTCATTGTCAAGTTTTTGCTGTCACAGTGTCAGGGCAGTCCCTCCGGGGCTCAAGGGAGACAGGTGGGATAACCAAAGTGTGGATCCAGATCTTGTGGTTTATGGGACTTTTTCAGTCTTGCTCTATCTCCCAGCCTGGAATGCAACTGTGTGATGGGTCACTGCACCCTTGACTTCTGGGACTCAAGTGATCTTTCCACCTCAGCCTCCTAGGTAGCAGGGACTGCAGTTGCATGCCACCACATCCAGATAATTAAAAAAAATGTTTTGGCCGGGTGCGGTGGCTCACGCCTATAATCCCAGCACTTTGGGAGGCCACGGCGGGTGGATCACGAGGTCAAGAGATCAAGACCATCCTGGTCCACAAGGTGAAACCCCGTCTCTACTAAAAATACAAAAAATTAGCTGGGCATGGTAGTGCATGCCTGTAGTCCCAGCTACTCGGGAGGCTGAGGCAAGAGAATTGCTTGAACCCAGAAGGTGGAGGTTGCGGTGAGCCGAGATTACGCCATTGCACTCCAGTCTGGGTAACAACAGCAAAACTCTGTCTCAAAAAAAAAAAAGTTTTAGGCTGGGCGTGGTGGCTCATGCCTATAATCCCAGCACTTTGGGAGGCCAAGGTAGGCAGAAGACTTGAGGTCAGGAGTTTGAAACTAGCCTGGCCAACATGGTGAAACCCCATCTCTACTAAAAATAAAAAAAAATTAACCAGGCGTGGTGGGTGGGTACCTAATCCCAGCTACTTGGGAGGCTGAGGCAGGAGAGTCGCTTGAACAGGGGAGGCAGAGGTTGCAGTGAGCCGAGATCACGCCACTGTACTCCAGCCTGGGTGACAGAGCAAGACTCTGTCTCAAAAAATATATATGGGGGGCCAGGATTGGTGTCTCATGCCTGTAATGCTAGCACTTTGGGAGACTCAGGTGGGAGGATTTCTTGAGCCCAGAAGTTCATGACCAGCCTCGGCAAAATAGCAAGACATCATCTCTTTAAATTCTTTTTTTTTTTAAGAGACAGGGTTTTGCCATGTGCCCAGACTCATCTTGAATTCTTGGGCTCAAGTGACCCACCAGCCTTAGATTCCCAAAGTGCTGGGTTTACAGGTGTGACACTGTGCCCAGCTTATACCCACTTTATTTTGTTTTGTTTTGAGGCGGAGTCTTGCTCTGTTGCCCAGGCTGGTGTGCGGTGGTGTGATCTTGGCTCACTGCAAACTGTGCCTCCCGGGGTCAAACGATTCTCCTACCTCAGCCTCCTGAGTAGCTGGGATTGCAGGTGCACACCACCATGCCAGGCTAATTTTTGTATTTTTAGTAGAGATGGGGTTTCACCATGCTGGCCAGGCTGGTCTTGAACCCCTGACCTCATGATCCACCAACCTCAGCCTCCCAAAGGGATTACAGGCATGAGCCACCGCACCCGGCCTATTTACCTACTTTTAATAACATGCGACATGCCAAGTATTATTCAGAATGGCCTAGAAAATGGGTGGTAACTTCCAGATGTTGCCCTGCTAAGGGGCAGTAACTTCCAGGTGTTGCCAAGATAATGGCAAACTGCCATGGTAATGGTGGGCATGTCTTTTTTTTTTTTTTTTTTCTAAGATGGAGTCTCGCTCTTGTTACCCAGGCTGGAGTGCAATGGCGCGATCTCGGCTCACCGCAACCTCCGCCTCCTGGGTTCAGGCAATTCTCCTGCCTCAGCCTCCCGAGTAGCTGGGATTACAGGCACGCGCCACCATGCCCAGCATATTTTTTGTATTTTTAGTAGAGATGGGGTTTCACCATGTTGACCAGGATGGTCTCGATCTCTTGACCTCGTGATCCACCCGCCTCGGCCTCCCAAAGTGCTGGGATTACAGACGTGAGCCACCGCGCCCGGCTCTATGGGCATGTCTTATGGGGAAGTGCTTTCAGTGCCTCTTCCTGTTCAGTGTCTTCAGTCTGGTCTGGAGTAGATTCCCATCTGGCTCCTACCTCAGCTTCACAAAAATCCCATGAAGGAGGAATTATCTTCATTTTCCATTGCTCCCCCACTTCCCAGGGCTGTGCAGTCAGGACTGGCTGCTGGATAGGATATTGACCACCTCACTGCCTATGGAAATCTCAGTGCTGTTTTTTTAGGGGGAAGGGAAGCCAATCCAAATTGTAATTTTAAAAGTGTAATTTATGATTGGGCACAGTGGCTCACACCTGTAATCCCAACACTTTGGGAGGCTGAAGTGGGCAGATCACAAGGTCAGGGGTTTGAGACCAGCCTGGCCAACATGGTGAAACCCCATCTCCACTAAAAATACAAAACTAGCCAGGTGTGGTGGTATGCACCTGTAGTCCCAGCTATTCGGGAGGCTGAGGCAGGAGAATCGCTTGAACCCGGGAGGTGGAGGTTGCAGTGAGCATAGACTGTGCTATCGCACTCCAGCCTGGGCTACAGAGCAAGACTCTCTGTCAAAAAAGATGTAAGTTATAAGGGCATAAAATTATGAAGTACTTAGAAATAATTTTTACAAAATTATGCAGGACTTGTACACTGAAAACTATAAAACATCGCTGAGATAAATTGAAGAATGCCTAAGTAAATGAGGACATTTATTATGTTCATGAATTGAAAGTCTTAATATGTTAATCCTCCCCAAGTTGGTTTGTGGGTTCAGTGCAGTCTCAATAAAAATGTCACTAGGTGTTTTTTTTTTTTTTTTTTATTCACTCTGTTACCCAGGCCAGAGTGCAGTGGTGCAATTTCATCTCACTGCAACTTCTGCCTCCTTCTGCCTGCCAGGTTCAAGTGATTCTCCTGCCTTAGCCTCCCAAGTAGCTGGAACTACAGGTGCGTGCCACCAGGCCCGCTAATTTTTGTATTTTACAATTGTAAATTACAGTCCCAAAGTGCTGGGATTACAGGCGTGAGCCACCGAGCCCGGCCTGCTTTTCTTTATAAGCTGTCTACACTGGGATGTTTCTTTTATTTTCCCCTGCCTCCCTCCCTTTCTCCTTCCTTCCTTCCCATCCTCCTTTCTTTTCCTTCCTTCTTTCTTTTCCTTCTTTCCTTCCTTCCTTTTTCTTTTTCCCTCCCCTCCCCTTCCTTCTTCCTTCTCTCTCCTCTCTCTCTCTCTCTCTCTCTCTCTCTCTCTCTCTCTCTCTCTCTCTCTCTCCTTTCTTTCTTTCTTGATGGAGTCTTGCTCTGTTGCCCAGGCTAAAGTGCAATGGCGGAATCTCAACTCACTGCAACCTCTGCCTCCCAGCTTCACGTGATTCTCCTACCTCAGCCTCCCAAGTAGCTGGGATTACATGCGCCCACCAATGTGTCCGGCTAATTTTTGTATTTTTAGTAGAGACGGGGTTTAACTATCTTGGCCAGGCTGGTCACGAACTCCTGACATTGTGATCCACCCGCCTCGGCCTCCCAAAGTGCTGGGATTACAGACATGAGCCACCTAGCCCAGTTTTTTTTTTTTTTTTTTGAGATGGAATTTCACTCTTGTTGCCCAGGCTAGAGTGCAGTGGCATGATCTCAGCTCCCTGCAACCTTTGCCTCCCAAGTTCAAGTGATTCTCCTGCCTCAGCCTCCCAAATAACTGGAATTACAGCAGCATGTCACCACATCAAGCTAATTTAGTATATTTTTAGTAGAAATGGAGTTTCACCATGCTGACCAGGATGGTCTCAAACTCCCAAACTCAGGTGATCCACCTGCTTCAGCCTCCCAAAGTGCTGGGATTACAGGCGTGAGCTACTGTACCCGGCCCAAAATAATTCTTTATAGTAACACAAAAATGGCCTAACACAAAGGTCGCATAGCAGATAGGCTCTAGTAAGAAAGAGAGCTGGGATTTTAAGGCAGGTGAACTGGGTCTAATGTTTCTACTCTTTACTTCTTTCTTCCTGCCTCTAGATTTTCACCCTCCCATGTTGAAATCTCTTGGTTATAGATTTTTGCTTGTGCTCTCTTCTGAGATCACCTTCTTAAATCACAGTGGTGTCTGTTTTCATACCTTTTGAGGGTAGAGTGATTCCTTGAGGGTTACAAGGTCTGAAGATAGATGAGTTCTTGGCATTTTGGAGAAGCCGGTGACTGGGTGCTCTGAGTCACTGGTTGTCAGACTGAGCCTCTCCCATCACACAGCTGAAGCAAGACTGCTCTGAGTATCAAAAGAAGGCTAGGTGGGGAGAGGATCTGGGTTTTACAAGAGGCAAGTCTAGGCCGGGCGCGGTGGCTCAAGCCTGTAATCCCAGCACTTTGGGAGGCTGAGGTGGGTGGATCACGAGGTCAAGAGATCGAGACCATCCTGGTCAACATGGTGAAATCCCGTCTCTACTCAAAATACAAAAAATTAGCTGGGCGTGGTGGTGTGTGCCTGTAATCCCAGCTACTCAGGAGGCTGAGGCAGGAGAATTGCCTGAACCCAGGAGGCGGAGGTTGCGGTGAGCCGAGATCGCGCCATTGCACTCCAGCCTGGGTAACAAGAGCGAAACTCCGTCCCAAAAAAAAAAACCAGGCAAGTCTAGAAATGTCAGAATTGGGGTCCAGGGTGCGAGCATGACGTGGTAGGACAACATCGTCTGCCATCTGGGTATGATGGTTGAAGCACTGGTTAGTGGGTGTGGCTTAAGGTAAACATAGTAATTCCCACTCTAGGTGTAAAGTGCTTCACATTGATGGGGAGCTTTCTGTGTCAGGAGCTTTGCATTAGTGTTGTCAGAAAGTCTGGTGCACACTGTGAGCACAGATTTCATGGATTTTACAGATGAGACAACTGAAGCTTAGGAGTCTGTGTTCGAGATCACACAATTCATTAGCAGTAGGAGTCCAAGTTGAACCAAGCGGGAAGGGTTACTGAGTGTTTTGGCACCCTTGGCCTTCAACTACTACTCTTCAGATTTCACAGGCCCCGTATTCTGGATAATTCACTCAAAGCTTGGGAGTTGGAGGTGAGGGAATCAACACAGGCATCAAAGAGAAGACAGATGCCAACACTAGCATGGAGGAGAGATTGCAGCTGATCTGGAGGTATGATTGGGAGAGATTGAGAAGCCTTTCAGGGGAGTCCCTGATGTGGGAGGGCACAAACAAAGGCCCAGGGGAAAGGAACTGCCCAGTAGGTCCCAGAGGAGGACCACCATCGGATACAACAGAGTGTAAAGTAACAGGGTAGACGGTATACTGCATCAACGGGGGGAAGGCAACTGCCTTTTGTGTTGAGGATAGTCTGAAAGCAATGGACCACTGAATCCCACAAAAGCTGGCAACCTGCACAGCTCAAAGGTCTTTGCCTGGAATACTCTGGCATTATTGGCAAACGTCTCCCTTCCTCTCACAGGTTGGCTGCTGTACACTGAGCCCCAGTGGGAGATCAGAAGGCAGGTTCAGCAGAAATACACAGGACTCTGCTCATGTACTGGGAACCATATCATTCTTCCTTTTTTACAGACAAGGTCTCATTCTGTTGCTCAGGCTCGAGTACAGTGGTGCAAGCGTAGCTAGCTCAGGGCAGACTTTAAGTCCTGGGATCCAGCGATCCTCCTGCCTCAGTCTCCCAAATAGCTGGGAACATGCTACCATCATGCCCAGCACCACTTTATGATATCTAATCTTAGCCACTGACACAGAGGATTGCGCTCTGATGACGCGTCTACCCTAACTTCATTTGCTTGGAAGCCCCCATGTGACTCAACTGGCCTTTAATTCTGATCCCACACGAATCTTCCATATTGGAGATATTATACTCAGGAAGGCAGGCCTGAGCAGGGTGGGCATCCCCCAGACACCTCCCTGTGCTGGGGAGTACTTGGGAAGCCCTGCCGTAATCTCTGCTCCCTGCAAAACTGTTGTGGCTTCTGCTCATGACGTAGTTATCATTGTCCGTCCCCTCAGGGGCTTCCGAGACAGGTGGCAGCTGCAGTGGCCTCTGATCGGTCATATAGTATGGATGGACACCACAGGCCAAAGAGCTTCATGTCAGAAGATTTCTGGTCTATTCTCCCCTAGGCCTCAGGAGGACCCAGGGAAATATACAAAGCCAACTTATAGTTTTGGTGAACTGAGTTTGTATTGAAATGTTTTTTGAAATGATTTTCAACATTTACGAAATCAGATGCCACATAAAAATCCAAGTATTTGACTCTTCTCGCAAAACCAGGAAGACTCCACCATATTGTTTCCCCACCCCTAAGAGGGGCAGACCTGCTTGGTGGCCGCCATAAGTGGAATTATGAAGGCCCTGGCCATGTGACTCTCTAGAAACCCTGGCTACTCACATAAGCCACTCTAGACCATGATTTCTGTCTTCTCTGCCTTGAGGTTCCTACCTGTGCAGTGATGGCCATGAGATGAACAGCCCAGAGAGTCCACAGGAATCCACAAAACATTTATTTGGATTTCAGTTATGAGTGACAGGTAGGTCTGCATGTCCTGAGAAGTTGTATATACCCTTATGTCACTTGGCCATAGTCACTGGAAGTTTCTAATGTGCCTTTAGAACAGACATGTCCCGGCTGGACGCGGTGGCTCATGCCTATAATCCCAGCACTTTGGGAGGCCGAGGCGGGTGGATCACGAGGTCAAGATTGAGACCATCCTGGTCAACAAGGTGAAACCCCGTCTCTACTAAAAATACAAAAAATTAGCTGGGCATGGTGGTGCGTGCCTGTAGTCCCAGCTACTCAGGAGGCTGCGGCAGGAGAATTGCTTGAACCCGGGAGGTGGAGGTTGCAGTGAGCTGAGATCGTGCCATCGCACTCCAGCCTGGGTAACAACAGCGAAACTCTGTCTCAAAAAAAAAAAAAACAAAAAACAGACATGTCCCTTCTTGCTCACCAATCTTCTCCACACCTAGAGTTTTGTACCAATGATAATTTCCACATAGCCGTGGCAGGTCTGAACCACTTATACCTGCCTACTGAGTTCTATATTTCATGAGTCATGAGCCAGGAGCAGGTCCTGGGACACATACCTAGTAAAGTAGGGCATGCACTGGGAACAGAGGACCAAACTCTTGCTGTGGAGGTTCTCAAGGAAACCACCCCATTTTTCAGAGCTAGCTGTCTGGTCCCACAGGTGACTCCTGGTGTCCAGACTACAGGATTCAGTCCACAGAGCCTGTCAGTCCTTCACAGGAGGCCTTAGGGCAACAAGGCAAATTCAACCAAATCTGGACTGAGAGCTCTTCCTGCCCAATCAGACACTCACTTAGTGCCCCCCCACAAAAAGTCTTTAAACTCACCTCACCAGTAGGTCCCAGAAGGGGACCTTGCCTCTGAGGCAAGTGGCTAACCATCAAGGCCTTTATTATCTCAGAGACAGACAGGCAGATCCAGGTCTGGGTCACTGTGTCACATGTAGATGCAGAAAAGAGTCCATGAAGAGAAGCCTTTCTGTATTAGTTACCTATTAGTCCTAGGCCGCAGTAATGCAGTGCTGCCTCAGATTCTGGGGGCTGTGGCTTTCCCACATTTGTTTCCCATAACTCTGTTTGGAATTCTCTGGTGATTCTTCTTGAAAGGGGGTATCTGTGGCTGAAGGCTTTCTCATTTTCACTGCGTTTGTAATGTTTTTTCCCATAGGTGCTTGATGTTGCTTTCTCATAGAGGTCACTGAAGACCATCCTAGATTCCTTACATGCAGGGGTTTTCTCTAATGTGAATTTTTTGGTTCTAGATAAGGATTGATTTCTTCTTGAGTGTCTTTCTTCATACCAAGTGTTTCAAGAGTGTCTCTTTAGTGTGGGCTCTTAGGAGGTTGAAGAGGGCTAGTCTTCATGAGGGCCTTCCCATAGCCAGTGCTCTTGAAGGGCTTCTCCCTCTCATGGCCTGCCCAGTGTTAACTGGTGTTGGAGCTGTGTGGCAACATCTTCCTACTCAGTTCTTCAGGGCTTCCCTGTGCCATGGGTGCTCTGGTGATGGAGAAACGAAGGTGTTTCCACATTCTCTTTTGAGCTTCTCATTATTCTGGTACTCCAGTGCTGGAAAGGGGGTCGTCACCCTGGAAAGTCTTCACAAGTGCCTGGCCCTAGAGTCCTCTCCCTTATGAATCCTGCTGTGCATGGAAAGTGCTCTTCACAAATGAGACTGTCAGTCGGAGTATCCTGCCTCACATTCACCCGGGAGTACAACCTTTGGCAGGCTAAGGGTGCCATGGTCAGGGTGAGGAATGACCAGTCATGGAGTACTGGCCCTGTCACATACCCCACTGCTGAGCCTGTTAAGTGGCATTCACATGGGCAGGGAGATCAGAGAGGGATCTAGGACAGATTGGCAGCAGCAGTGGCTACTGAAACTGTTGTTCAATGATGTGAGCCCAGGCCACTCTTTGCTTTTTGTTTTTGAGACAGAATCTCTCACTATCTCCCAGGCTGTAGTGCAGTGGCACGATCTTGGCTCACTGCAGTCTCCGCCTTCTGGGTTCAAGCAATTCTCCTGCCTCAGCCTCCTGAGTAGCTGGGACTACAGGTGCACGCCACCACACCCAGCTAATTTTGTTTTTTGTATTTTTAGTAGAGATGGGGTTTCACCATGTTGGCCAGGATGGTCTCAATCTCCTGACCTCATGATCTGCCCACCTCAGCCTCCCAAAGTGCTGGGATTACAGCCTTGAGCCACTGCACCCAGTCCACTCTTTTCTTTTTTAGAGATGGGGCCTTGCTATGTTGCCCAGGTGGACTCAAACTCCTGCGCTCAAGAGATCCTCCCGTCTCAACCTCTCAAGTGGCTGGGACTATAGGTGTGCACCACTGCACCTGGACTCCTATTCACATCCCAGCCAATGCTGTCATGAGTACTTCCTTGTATGAGGGAGGTCAGGGAAACAGCAACAGCTCACATGTACATTATGTTGAAATTACATGACAAATAAGCTTTTTATTTTTATTTTTTGAGATGGAGTTTCACTATTGTTACCCAGGCTGGAGTGCAATGGCGCAATCTCGGCTCACTGCAACCTCCGCCTCCCGGGTTCAAGCAATTCTCCTGCCTCAGCCTCCTGAGTAGCTGGGATTACAGGCGTGCGCCACCATGCCCAGCTAATTTTTTGTATTTTTAGTAGAGACGGGGTTTCACCATGTTGACCAGGATGGTCTCGATCTCTTGACCTCGTGATCCACCTGCCTCGGCCTCCCAAAGTGCTGGGATTACAGGCTTGAGCCACCGCGCCCGGCCAACAAATAAGCTTTTAAAAATAGGTGCCAAGCACCATATTCTACAAGGTTCTGGATCTCAAGCTTTTTCTAAAATACCAGATCTGTCAACTGTGTTAAATACCCCCATCTGCCTGTGCCCACTCTGTTGGCCAGCAAGACTGTGAAGCCACGAAGTGTGTGTTATTGACCAGAAACCCTGGGCAGACTATAAAAACCACTTTCCTGGACTATAGGCTGTCACTTTTCTCAGTCCCCAGTTCCTACCTGGGAGTGATGCGTGCCAAGATACAGTTCAAGAGAAGTGAAGTGAATGCACCCAAAATTGCATTTGTCTGTTTTAACTGTGGCAAAAACTTTAACATGGCAGATAGGAAGTCTGCAGCTCTGGAGTGGTTCTGCATACCCTCATCCTGCAGTCACAGTTGATGGGGAACTATGGCTACTGCTTTGTCCAGGATAGCATGTACCCTAGTTTACCACAGTCTCCCCAAACCCCTATTTATTACCTCACATCCAGTGTATCTCTATGCACATGGAGTACTCCCTGGGCTCCTCGAGGTTTTTTTTTTTTTTTTGTTCTATTTAAAAATTTTTTTTCAGCTGGGCACGGTGGCTCACGCCTATAATCCCAGCACTTTGGGGGGCCGAGGCGGGTGGATCACAAGGTCAAGAGATCGAGACCATCCTGGTCAACATGGTGAAACCCCGTCTCAACTAAAAATACAAAAAATTAGCTGGGCATGGTGGCGTGCGCCTGTAGTCCCAGCTACTCGGGAGGCTGAGGCAGGAGAAGTGCTTGAACCCGGGAGGCGGAGGTTGCGGTGAGCCAAGATCACACTGTTGCACTCTAGCCTGGGTAACAAGAGCGAAACTCCGTCTCAAAAAAAAAAAATTTTTTTTTTTTTTTCTCTAGGTTTTGCCTTGGTGACCCTGGGACTATTTTAGTGTTGTAGACTAATTTATTTTTCCTCAGGGTAAGCTCTGGGCCCTAAGATAACTCTAAAACATAGGCCACTGTGTTCAGTCCAGAGCCTTTCAGTCTTCCCCAGTCCTTCACATAGCAATGTGAAGCAGGCTACAACAGGACAGAGCAACTGCCTGCTCTTCTGCTGTGCCCTTAGGCAGATTTCGTGCCCCCACTCTATCCATTCATTTTCTCAGCCTACTCCAACAGAATCCCTAAGACTAAAAGGCAACCTCATCAATAAGCTCTTTATTATCACACAGTATAGTGCAGACAAGGTAGGTTATTCCGGTGGAGGGTGATTTGTGGTCTCAATGGACACATCTTAGGGGTTAAACACAAACTTGATTTCTTCCTGAGCTCAAATTAGATTTCCCTCAAGGCCCCTTGACCAGCATGGGTTCAGCTGACTGCCTAACCCTCTCAGAGGCAATGGGAATTAACACCATTCCAGTGAGCTAAGGATGGTCCTGAATCCCTACAGGACAGGCTAAGGGAGGCTCAGGGAACTGTTTTCCCCATGCATGAGGACAGGACTGCTGCAAATTTTTGGATCCAGGCAAGATGGAAAGTGGCTGTGGCTTCTGCCTTATGCTACATGGGTGAGATGGCCCTGCGAAGTTTTTTGGGCTGGTGAGAAAGAACATAGCAGCTTCTAAACACTTTTCCACATTAGGAGTACATGTAGGTAAATTCTAATACGGGGATTCTACTGCATGAAGTTTGACTTGGCTGAAGATCTTCTCACAAAGACCACTCCCATAAGGCTCCACTCAGGTATGAATCTTTCTATGCTGAGCAAGGTTACAAAGATGGCTAAAGACTTTCCCACACTGGCTACACTCATAAATCCTTTCTCTGGTATGAGCTTTCTGGTGCCGAACAAGTGTAGATCTTTCACTAAAGGCTTTTCCACACTGGATGCACTCATAGGGCCTTTCTTTTGTGTGAACTCTCTGATGACGAACCAGGTGGGAGTTACTGCTGAAGGCTCTTCCACATTCACTGCATTCATAAGGCCTTTCTCCAGTGTGAACTCTCCAGTGACAAATAAGGCTAGATTTTCGGCTAAAGAATTTCCCACATTCACTGCACTTATAAGGCTTTTCTCCAGTATGAACTTTCTGATGCTTAATGAGAATAGAGTTTTGGCTGAAGAATTTCCCACATTCATTGCATTCATAAGGCTTTTCTTTTGTGTGAACTCTCCAGTGTTCAATGAGACTGGAACTGTGAGTGAAGGCTTTCCCACACTCACTACATTCATAAGGCCTTTCTCCGGTGTGAATTCTCCAGTGCTGAATCAGGCTGGAGCTGCGGCTGAAGGATTTCCTACATTCGTTGCACTCATAAGGCCTTTGCCCAGTATGTACTTTCTGGTGCTGGATGAGGGTGGAGCTATTGCTGAAGGCTCTACCACATTCGCTGCATTCAAAAGGCCGTTCTCCAGTGTGAACTTTCTGATGTCGAAGGAGATGGGAGCTTTGGCTGAAGTCTCTTCCACATTCACTGCACTCAAAAGGCCGTTCTCCAGTGTGAACTTTCTGGTGCTGAGCAAGGTTGGAGTTATTATTAAAAGCTCTTCCACATTCACTGCATTCATATGGTCTTTCTCCAGTGTGAACTCTCCAGTGCTGAATGAGAGCAGAGCTTCGGCTGAAGGATTTACCACATTGATTGCATTCATAAGGTCTTACTTGGGTGTGAACTTTCTGGTGCCGAAGGAAATTGGAGCTTTGGCTGAAGGCTCTTCCACATTTCAGGCACTCAAAAGGCCTTTCTCCAGTGTGAACTTTCTCATGTCGAATGAGGTGTGATCTGTTATTGAAGGCTTTCCCACATTCACTGCACTCATAATGCCTTTCTCCTGGGTGAATTCTCTGATGATGAACAAATGTGAGTTTGTGGTTGAAGGTTTTCGCACATTGAGTGCACTCATAATATTTTACTTTAGTGTGAAATTTCTGGTGCTTCCTCAGCTTAGATAGGTGACTAAAGGCCTTTCCACACTCCTTGCACACATGGGATATTTCCCCAGTGTGAAGTTTTTGATTACCAAGGGTTGATTTCTCCTCTAAGAAATTTCCACCTGTTGGGCATCTAAATGTTATCTCTTCAGAGTGAGTTCTCAAATGGTTGAGGAGAGTGGAGCTTTTCAGGAATGCTTTTCCATAGTTGCTGCACTTGAAGAGTTTCTGTGTAGTACAGACTTCTGGAATCTGCCCAAGATTGGAATATGGCTTCCTCCCACTGTCAACAGCTTGAAGCTGGAGGAGGTCACGGCTGTCCAGGATGGCCTTCCCACCTTCCCTGCAAGTCAAGGGGTTCTCTGACAGGTGGACTTTAGAGCTCTTCATAAGTGCATCCCTGTTCTTATACCATCTGAAGGGCTTCCCTCTACTATACTCCCGGTGCTGGTGAAGGTTTGTGCTCAACCAAAACTCTCTCCCACATGTTCCACATGAGTAGGGTTTCTCCTGAGAGTATGTTCCCTGATGCTCAGCCAGGTGCAAAATGTCTTTCAAGTATAGCCCACACATATCACAGGGGTTAGCCTTCTGGGTGGAGGGATCTGCATGTGCATTCCTGACCTGTAACACCTCTTCTACAGAAGCATTCTTCTTGGGATGGGCCTCCTCACCCTCTACTCCATGCCAGCAACCTGAAAGTACAGAAACGCCAGTTACCTAGGTATTCCACTTGGTGGTAATGGATGCCTTCATTAGAAATGTGTTACCCAGGAATTCACACCCAAGAAGAGGTCCCAGGGATTGTTGACAGGCCAACAGGACCATCATCAAGGGTGAATAAGGGCCCATTACTATGCAGGATAGGGACCAGCCAAGCAACAGAATAAGGGAGACCTCACCAGGGTCAGGACACAGAAATGGGTCAAAGGACTTAAATAGACATTTCTCCAAAAGAAGGTATATACACAAATGATCAATAAGCATTTGAAAAGACGTTCAGCATCCTTAATCATTAGGAGTATGCAAACCAAAACCACAGTGAGATACAGCTTCACACCCACCAGCATAGCTATAATAAATAAACAGCAACAAACGAAGATGAAGTAGAAAAACTGGAGCACTTACACACTGCAGATAGGGATGTAAAATGGGGCAGCCAATTTGGAAAAGAGTTTGGCAAGTCTGCTCCTACAGAGCTACACAAGAGAATTAAAAGCCTATCTACACAAAAATGTATACAAGACCATTCATGGCAGTACGTTTTTAAAGATTGAGGTGGGGTCTTGCTATGTCACCCAGATTGATCTCAAACTTCTGAGCTCAAATTATCCCCCTGCCTCAGCCTCCTGAGTAGCTGTATTATAGGCACCTCGCCGAGCTTCTATAGCAGCAATTTTTCTGACACCTAAAAAAAATGGAAACAAGCCAAATTCTCATCAACTGCTAAATGGATAAACAAACTGTAATCTATCTATACACTGGAATATTTGGCTGTTAAAAAGAATGAAATATTGATACATGCTACTAAATTGACGAACTTCAAAAACATGTTAAGAGAAAGCCAGTCACGGAAAAACACATGGTAAGAGTCAATTTCTATAAAATAGCTAGGAAAGGTAAGTCTATATAGTCAAGTAGATTCATGGTTGCCTAGGACCGGGGGAAATAAGGGATAAGGGAAGATGACAGCTAATGGGACTGCTAATGAGACCTAAAGCTTCTCTTTAGGTGATGAAAACATGCTAAAATTACATTATCGCAATGACATATAAAAATCACTAAACTGTATACTTTTTTTTTTTGAGACTAACCTGTATACTTTAAAGGGTGAATAGTGGCTGGACGCGGTGGCTCACGCCTGTAATCCCAACACTTTGGGAGGCTGAAGCGGGTGGATCACGAGGTCAGGAGTTTGAGACCAGCCTGGCCAATATGGTGAAACCCCGTCTCTACTAAAAATACAACAAGTAGCTAGGTGTGGTGGCATGTGTCTGTACTCCTAGGTACTCAACAGGCTGAGGCAGAAGAATCACTTGAACCCAGGAGGCAGAGGTTGCAGTGAGCCAAGATTGCGCCACTGCACTCCCGCCTTGAGACAGAGCAAGACTCTGTGTCAAAAAAAGAAAAAAAGAAAGGAAAAGAAAAAGGTGAATTGTATGGCTTATCTTAATAAAGCTTGTTTTTTTTTTTTGAGATGGAGTTTCACTCGTTACCCAGGCTGGAGTGCAATGGCGTGATCTTGACTCACCGCAACCTCCGCCTCCTGGGTTCAGGCAATTCTCCTGCCTCAGCCTCCTGAGTAGCTGGGATTACAGGCATGTGCTACCATGCCCAGCTAATTTTTTGTATTTTTAGTAGAGGCAGGGTTTCACCATGTTGACCAGGATGGTCTCGATCTCTTGACCTCGTGATCCACCCGCCTCAGCCTCCCAAAATGCTGGAATTACAGGCGTGAGTCACCGCGCCCAGCAATAAAGCTATTTTTAAAAAAATATCTCACTGGGGAAAGAAACAGAATCTGGGCATGGCCTCATACTAGGTAACCCAACCAGGGATTGGTGAAGTTCAGTGGGAGCTGTTAGGAAGACTGGAGATGTCTGATCCCCAACCTTTGCCTCCACAGGGCTCCTGGGCAACAGCTATTAGGAAAGCTCACGAGGCTGTTCAGAAGAGAGACAGGGGAAGTACACACAGCAGACTGGGCACCGCAGCACCTACAACAGGAAACCTGAGAAGGAAGCAGTACCCATGATCTGGCTTTGGCATGAACAGAACTTTCTATGGGGAAGAGACACAGGGCATAAGCTGGTCACCACCATGCTGGGGCAGGGCATTACCAAGTGAGGTAATGAGCTCAAAGTTTTCCACCATCACATTGTGGTACAGGTGCCTCTGGGCTACATCAAGGAGCCCCCACTCCTCCTGGGAGAAATATACAGCCACATCTTCAAAGGTTACCAGGCTCTTCAATGAGGGGACAGCTGAGCCACAGGGCCAACAGGTATGCTGAAAAAGAAACAAATGATGAAATGGAAATATGTAGGCCCTTGCCATGTGACTCAGAATTCTGACACATCTACCACTGACATCTCTTTCTCTTATGATTCTCTCAGACCATCTACTACTCATCCACAGCTTACCTTCTTCCTCAGGGCCCCACTTAACATGCCCTGGACTTAATGGTGCCCCTCCCTCTCCTAGTAGTCCCACTGGTCACTGTATTGAGGACAACCCAACCTAGAGAAGCAACAGGCCGATGGGCAGATGCATGCTGGCTCCTCCCTCCTGCTGGCCAATTTTCCTTGTGTCTTCTGGCTCATACCTCCCACACAAGAAAATCTGGGCTTTCCTTTCTCTTTATGCCTCTTGTACCAGGGCCAAGGGGCCAATGGTTCACATTCCCTCACCTTTACATGTCACTCCTCAGACCAGACAATTCTCATGTTTCCATCCCCTCCCTGTGCACACTGTAGGCTTCTCCCTAGCATCTCACCATGTGCTAGGGAGAACATGGTGAGATATTCCTGACAGACGCATCCAGGATCCAATCCTGGTCCAGCTACAGAGCTCCAAACACTCCACTGCCAGAGGCAGCCACAGCCTTGAAGTCAATGCCTGCCCTCCTTGCCCTGTTTCTTCAACCATCAGCTGCCCAGAATCAAAAGCAGATCTCAAATATCTTTTCCCTCTTATATTGTTGCCTTTGTATGTGTTGTCTCATTCCTAGTCATAGCTGTCTTTGGTATTCCTAACACTCAAATACTAAGACTCACTGGCCCCACCTTGGCCTGGGGACTCAGCTTAGACTGGCCCTTTCTGATCTTGCCACTCCACCAGCCTGACAAAAACCCCAGGACCCCACTTAAGAGGAGATAACATGCCCTGACCATAAAAAGGATGGCCACAAAAACATAGTGAGCTGTAGAGACGTAAGTCAACCTAAACCAAAGCCCAGCTCTCATGCTTCTATTGCTGTGCTTCATTTTTGTCCTAGACCTCCTCTCTGCTCAGGAGGCTTGGCCACTGTCTTAAACCCAACCAACAATTGCATGCGGTGTCCACACAAAAGCATCCATCCATTGGATGTTTCCAGCCTAAACCCGACATAATTTCTTTCTTTTTTTTTTTTTTTTTGAGATGGAGTTTTGCTGTTGTTACCCAGACTGGAGTGCAATGGCATGATCTCGGCTCACCGCAGCCTCCACCTTCTGGGTTCAAGCAATTCTCCTGCTCAGCCTCCTGAGTAGCTGGGAGTACAGGCGTGCACCACCATGCCCAGCTAATTTTTTTATTTTTAGTAGAGACGGGGTTTCACCGTGTTGACCAGGATGGTCTCGATCTCTTGACCTCGTGATCCACCCGCCTTGGCCTCCCAAAGTGCTGGGATTATACATGTAAGCCACTGCGCCCGGCCATAACCTGACATAATTTCATAATTGCATGTTTAGAGGTCCACTTGGCACCTCAATTTGGCAGTCTCTGGGACATCTCAAATACAACATGGCCAAAATCCAACTCTTTGAGCTTCTCCCTGAGATGTACTCCTCACACAAACTTCCACATCTGAAAGATCTAACGTCATTTTTTTTTTTTTAAAGACAGAGTCTCGCTCTGTCACTCAGGCTGGAGTGCAGTGGCATAATCTCAGCTCACTGCAACCTTCATCTCCCAGATTCAAACAATTCTGCCTCAGCCTCCCAAGTTGCCGGGATTACAGGTGCATGCTACCATGCCCCAGCTAATTTTTTTTGTATTTTTAGCAGAGATGGGGTTTCGTCATGTTGGCCAGGCTGGTCTCAAACTCCTGACCTCAAGTGATCTGCCCACCTCAGCCTCCCAAAGTGTATACCACTGTGCCCAGCCTAAGGTCAATCGTAACATCTCACTTTATTTCACTGTCCCATCTCTCTTTCGCTGTCCCACATCAGGTAATCTATGGCCCAATTTGGGCAGATTCAGAAGCCAACCATTTGTCCTACCTCCACAGGTCCCCTTCTGTCCAGCTACCCAAAGCACACATCTGGACCACGTCTATCAACCCCTCACTGGCCTTCCTGCCCCACCCTCACCATCCCTCCAGTCTGCTCTCCACTGGGCATCTATAGGGAGTCTGTTAAGACTGGAGTCAGAGCACCTCCTTCCTCTGCTCCAAACCTTCCATGGTTGACACCACCATCAGAATAGCGGCCCAGGTCCTCAGGCTGCCATTCCAGGCCTAAGTCTGGTTTACGTGCTGTTTCCACCAGACTAAATGGAGATCTGCAGTCCCTGGAATGCTTCCATGTCATCACCACTAGGCAATGCACACATGCTGGGTCCCTGTGCCTGGGACAGCCTTCCAGATTTCATTCCATAGGATTCCAGAAATGGGAATCCCTCGATATAACCCCTGGCCTGGATTCAGGATGGCAAGGGTAAGTGATTACCAGGGCAGGGCCCAAGACCCATGTGTGAGGACAGGACACGGCCAAGACTCCCAGGACACCAACATTCCCTATATCTGGGCTTCAGGATCCTGACTGCCGGAATCCCAGCGGTGAGGGCTCGGGGCACACTCCACTCACCTGCACCGGGCCCATCAGCGACGCTGGCAACCCCATTGGAACCTGTGGGCTGGGCAGTGCCATAACAGGAGGTGCCAGGGCTAGCTCAGCTGAACCCTCACACCTCCACTGGGTGGCGCGAACATTGGCTGACGGTCGCACTCGGGGCCTGTCTTCCCAGATACAAAACGCGCGCGAGGAACAGGGAGCCGCCTCCGGGCACCGCAGGAACGAAAGTTGGGTAAGGAGACTCCAGAGACCCGTGGCGCTGGCTCCACTTTCGGGATCACCTTGGTTCAGAAAAGCAGAGTCAGTAGCCGGGGGCTAGGGTGTGTGCGCAGGCGCAGTGACGGTCCCTGAACCCACTCCCGCGCCCCCGTCCAGCTCCACAGGCCTGCTGCAGCCCAACCCACCAGCCGCAAAGGCAGCGCCGGAAGTCCCGCCCCTCGTCGGAGCCTCCATTGGCTCAGGGCACCCTGCCGACTATGACGCCATTCCCTGTCCTCGTCACGCTGCGTCTATGTCGTTGCCAAGGTGATTGAAGAAAGGCGTTTCTTGCGTCGCCGGTCACGCAACGCAAACTACATTATCCAGAAGGACCCTCGCCGAGCAGCTGGGCTGGCGTTGGCAGCCCGGGAGAAGGGCACTTCCGGGCGGGGCGTAAAGACGATGGCCAATCACAGCCTGCGAGCGGGACTTCCGTCGTCGTCCTCGGACCATCACTTGGGCATTTATCGGTTTTATCTGCACCTGAAGGGACCGCGTTTCCAGGCGAGGGACGTAATCTTGGGAGCTTCCTGGGTCCGTGAAAGCAGGATCGAGGAAGGCACGAGAGTCGGCGAAGTTACGCCTCCGTGACATATAAGCGCCCCTACCGCGACGAATATCGCCCCCCACCCCCGAGCCCCAGCGTCTCCCGCTGCCGTAGATAAAGCGGGCCTAGTGGGACCCTCAGGCCGCACCGCGCGGAGGTGTCCGCGGCTTCCGGGAGTCGTCGTCATTGCCGTTGTGTCAGCTTTATGGGGCGTGAGGCCAAGAAAAGCTACGCGTTTGGAGGTCTTGACCCAGCGTGCAGACGGCTCCAGGCATGGGACGTGCGCCAAGGGTCACCTGGTACCCACTCGGTTGGACTCATCACCATTGTCCTAACTCTCTGATTGAGAAGTATCTGCCCCAGGTCCCCCGCGGCCCTACCGAATCGTGTGGAGCGTTCACAGGTGGCGGGGGCGGGTGTCACCATTTCCGAATCCAGTCTGTTGAGACGTGGAGGGTACAGGAGGAGGGATCTGCGTATGCGAAGACTTAGACGTGAGACTGACCCGAGCGTGCAGGAAGGCTCTCGTGCCCCCTCCGCAGCGAGTGGAGAGCGTAAGAGGAGTCCTGCCTCTCCTGACACACTGAGGGTGCTGGGAGCCATGAAAGGTTTTGGACAGAAAAGGGATGGACGTGATCTGAGTTAGAATTTCGAAAGTATTCCAGTGGCTGCTGAATGAACACACTACTGGAGAAGGTGGTTGTAGCGGGGCTGGAAGCAGGGAGGCTATGGGGAGGTTATTGCAGTATTGTTCCGGACAGTTATGATAGTGGCCTGTCCGGAATGGAAGCAACAGTGATGGGAGAAGTGATCCTAGTGGATCTTCCAGGTAGAGCTGATGGAATCTCTTGTTACCTTAGATAAGTGGAGTAAGCATGAGTAGGGGTGAAGAACAATCCTAAGTATTGAGGAAGAATTAGGATGCCTCTTGTGGAGAATGAAGGTTGGCAACTGGGAGGAGGAGGATGGATTTTGTAGGTATAGAATCTGAATTGTTGGCCGGGTGCGGTGGCTCACGCCAATAATCCCAGCACTTTGGGAGGCCGAGGCAGGTGGATCACGAGGTCAAGAGATCGAGACCATCCTGGTCAACAAGGTGAAACCCCGTCTCTACTAAAAATATGAAAAGTAGCTGGGCATGGTGTTGCACGCCTGTAGTGCCAGCTACTCGGGAGGCTGAGGCAGGAGAATTGCTTGAACCCAGGAGGCAGAGGTTGTGGTGAGCCGAGATCGTGCCATTGCACTCCAGTATGGGTAACAACAGAGAAACTCCGTCTCAAAAAAAAAAAAGAGAGAATCTGAATTGTTTGGAGACCTGTGAGTGGAGGTGTCAAATGGGCCCCTGGATACATCAAATTCTGGTGTGGCTTCAGGAAGTCCGGACTGCATTATGTTGGTGGTCTGGACCAGGGAAGGGCCTGAAGATAGGATATGGGAAGGAGGGTTTTAGGTTGCAGCTACAGATGCACCCTCGAGGTGAGTGTGAAGTGTTGAGACTAAGGACCAATGACTAGGGCTCGTGCCCAGTGCTTAGATCTCATCGGTCTGCCCATTGGCTTGGTGTTGCAGGGCTTGGTGACCTTTGAGGACAAGGTCAGTACAGCTGCCAAAAACGTGGGGCTCCTTAGTGAGGTCCAGGGGGGCTTCTACAGTGACATGATTCTAGAGAGCTTTGTACTCCTGTGCTCACTAGGTAAGGCTGCTGTGTCTCCTCTTTCCCCTACACCTGAAATCTGTGTTTTCCTTTGCCTTTCCCTTGTTCCCTGTGGGAGGTGCTGCTGGCCCTGGCACTGGCCACTGTCCTGCTAGTTATCCCTGGCTGCTGCAAAAATAACACCTTCTGCAAAGCTACAGTTACAGTCCCTGCACACACTCCTGCACCCTTGTCCGGCTCCTGAGGCCTCCTGTAGCCCAACCGACCAGCAGCAAAATGAAGACCTTGATGGCGGTGCCAGCAGTCCCGCCCCTCAGTGCCCTGTGTGGCATATCACATGCAGCTGGGTCTTTTCCTGGCTAGGTTACCTGTCAGGATCTGTGGCTTTTCTGTCCCTTCTGCCACATTCCCTCATTGTAGTAGAAGTTTTCTGTCAGCTGTCTCTTGTGAGTCCCAGTGGACACTGACATGGTCATTGATTGTGGGATCACTGAGCATTGACTTTGGGATGTTCAGTTCTTCCCGGCTATATACCTGCACAGGTGATCTTCACCTACTGTGGCTTGTCATGGGGTGGTTCACCTTGGCGTGTTCTGCCTGCTTTTTTTTTTTTTGAGACTGAGTTTTGCTCTTGTTACCCAGGCTGGAGTGCAATGTCACGATCTCGGCTCAACGCAACCTCCGCCTCCTGGGTTCAGGCAATTCTCCTGCCTCAGCCTCCTGAGTAGCTGGGATTACAGGCATGCGCCACCATGCCCAGCTAATTTTTTTTGTATTTTTAATAGAGACGGGGTTTCACCTTGTTGACCAGGATGGTCTCGATCTCTTGACCTTGTGATCCACCCACCTTGGCCTCCCAAAGTGCTGGGATTACAGGCGTGAGCCACCGTATCTGTCCGGCATGTGCTGCCTTCTTACAAACCACTTGATCAGAGCTCTGTAGGATCACTGCCCCCCACTTCTGCAATGTGATCACCTAACTAGAACAAATGAAGAGACCTGACTGGTGGCGGACAGGGTGGCTTGAAGTAGGCCATGGACAGAGAGGCTGCATGCACCAGTTCTGTTGAATGGAAGACAGCTGTTGGAGAGCTGTTGGCAGTGTCCTGGTGGCTCACCTGGTATCTGAGTTGTGCCCTCTATTGCCCTCGCACCAGGATGTGTAGCCATGCCTTTTAAAAAATTTTTTTTCTGGCCTGGCACATTGGCTCATGCCTGTAATCCCAGCACTTTGGGAGGCCGAGGCTGGCAGATCACAGAGTCAGGAGTTCGAGACCAGCCTAGCCAATATAGCGAAACCCTGTTTCTACTAAAAGAAATTTAAAAATTAGCCAAGCGTGGTGGTGTGCTCCTATAATCCCAGCTACTCAGGAGACTGAGGCAAGAGAATGACTTGAACTTGGGGGACAGAGGTTACAGTGAGCCAAGATCATGCCATTGCACTCCAGCCTAGGCAATAGAGTGAGACTCCATTTCAAAAAAAAAAATTCCGACCTTCTGACACTCTATCCTACTTTGCCCTGACTTCTGTCCCCTGGATGGCCTCCTTTCTCTAGCTTCCAAGACTCATTCTTTCTTCTTCTCCCCTCTTCCCTTCAATGGCCAGGTCTTCTACCATTGGCCTCCCGTTAATGTGTCTTGAACTGATAATGTATCTCTAAATAGTTCTTATCTGCACATGGTGGCTCATGCCTGTAGTCCCACCTACTTGGGTTGCTGAGGCAGGAGGGTCAATTGAGCCCAGGAGTTTGAGTCCAGCTTGGGCAACATAGCGAGATCCTATCTCTAAGATAAATAAATACATAAATATATAAATAGTTTTTGAAAACCTGTTCTTGGCCATGCGCAGTGGCTCACACCTGTAATCCTAGCACTTTGGGAGATCAAGGTGGGCAGATAGCCTGAGCTCAGGAGTTCGAGACTAGCCTGGACAACGTGAAGTAACCCATCTCTACTGAAAATACAAAAAAACTAGCCGGGCGTGGAAGCACGTGCCTGTAGTCCC